CTATAAAATGGTGAAAATGGAGAATTTTATGTTATATAGAATTAAAATATTTAATGACATTAAAAAGTAGTCATAAATTTAAATGAAAAAAACAAGATGCACAACTATATAGAGGACGTAATTCAAATTTCTTAATTTGTATATACAAAAAAAAAGACTAGAAGGAAATATATCATAATGCTTTAATTGGTTATCTCTGGATAGTAGAATAAAAGTGTGTTTTTTTCTTTATTATATATTGCAATGTTTTCCATCTTTTCACAATGAATATATGTTAATCATTCATAAAAACAGAACAGAATCAAGTTATTTATCAAAAAATAGAGAAAAACCTGGAGATCCTTGTTCTGGAGAAGAGAACAATCACAGAAGAAATGAGAGCTGTTTTTAGATATGTGAAAGACTGTTCTGGAGAGAAAAATCAGACTATTCTGTGCCACCCCAAAGAGCAGAACTGGGGTGGGTGAAAGTTACACAGAGATAGATTTGGCTTGACGTGAAGAACTCTGTTATCAGCAAGGACTGTCGCAGAGTATTCTTTCAATAGATTTAACAAACATTTAGTGAACTCCTTTGATATGTTGGGCATTGTTAGAAGTATTGGGAATACAGCAGTAATCGAGACATACAAGGTACTTTTCTCATGAAGCACACACTCTAGGTGAGGGGTGACAGGCAAAAGCAAATAAAAACATACATAAATATCACAATTTCAGATCGTGAAAAGTGCTGTGAACAAAAATAGATTAAAGACTTGCATGTAAGACCTGAAACCATAAAACTTCTAGAAGAAAACATAGGCAGCACACTCTTAAACATTGGTCTTAGCAGTATCTTTTTGAAGACCATTTCTCACCATGCAAGGGAAACAAAAGAAAAAATTAACAAATGATACTACATCAAACTGAAAAGCTTCTGCACTGCAAAGGAAACCATCAACAAAACAAAAAGACAACCCAACAATTGGGAGAAGATATTTGCAAATCATATATATGATAAGGGGTTAATATCCAAAATATATAAAGAACTCACACAGCTCAACAAAAACAATAAGAACAACCCAACTGAAAAATGGGCAAAGGATCTGAACAGACATTTTTCCAAAGAATATATACAGACAGCCAAAAGGTACATGAAAAAATGTTCAACATCACTAATTATTGGGGAAATGCAAATCAAAACTACAATGACATAGCATCGCACACCCATCAGAATGGCTATAATTAACAACACTAGAAATAACAAGTGTTGGAGAGGATGTGGAGAGAAGGGAACACTCATGTACTGCTGGTGGCAATGCAAACTGGTGCAGCCACTATGGAAAACGGTATGGAGATTCCTCAAAAAATTAAGAATAGAACTACTGTATGATCCAGATCCAATTATACCATTTCTGGATATTTATCCAAAGAACATGAAAACATGAACGCGAGAAGATATTTGCACCCCTATGTTCATTGCAGCATTATTCACAATAGCCAAGACTTGGCAACAACCTAAGTGCCCATCAATGGATGAATGGATAAAGAAGATGTGGTATATATACACAATGGAATACTACTCAGCCATGAGCAACGATGAAATCCAGGCATTTGCAACAACATAGATGGACCTTGAGTGTATTATGCTAAGCAAAATAAGTCAGATGGAGAAAGTCAAATACCATATGGTTTCACTCAGAAGTGGAAGATAACAGCAACAACAACAAACACATAGATACAGAGATTAGATTGGTGGCTACCAGAGGGGAAGGGGGAGGGAGGAAGGCAAAAGGGGTAATGGGGTACATGTGTATGGTGACAGATGATAATTAGTCTTTGAGTGGTGAACATGATGTAGTCTACACAGAAATCAAAATATAATGATGTACACCTGAAATTTATATAATGTTATAAACCAATGTTACCTCAAAAAAAAGGAATAGAGCAAAATTGTGTGATAGAGAATAATTGGCTTAGTCATTACCTAAAGTGACTTTTCTGATGTGGTTACATTTGAGCTAAGGTCTGAATAATAAGAAAAGGTCAAAGCCACATGAAGATCTAAAGGGAGAGTATTTTAGGCAAAGAAAATAGCAAAAACAAAGGTACTGAGGTGACCACAAGCTTGGCAATGCTTGAGTGACAGAAACGCGAGGCTGCCAGGAACAAGTAAGTGAGTAGCAATGTGGTTAGAGGTGAAGTTAGAGAAGTAGGCAAGAGCCAAACCATATTCGACTTTGGATTTAGTGGAAATGGGAAGCCACTGGAGCATTTCAAGCAAGAGGATGACAATAAAATCTATATTTTAAAAATAACACTGTCACTACTGTGTGAAAGGTAAATGGGGGGTGAGGGGAAGGCAGCAAGTGTGGAACAAGATCAGTTGTAAGGTTATTACAGCAATCAACAGGAGAGGTGACATCACTTTGTGACAGTGGCTACAATAGAGGTGGAGAGAAGGGATGCAGGGTATGTTTTGGAGGTAGAGCCAATAAAAAATTCATATATATTGGATGTGAAGGGTAAAGAAAATAGAGAAATTAAGAGTGACTCTAGGTCTTTGAACAACCAGGTAGAGAGTGGTGCTATTTTAACAGAATGTATGCTCCATGAGGAAAGGAATTTTAATTTACTTTTTTTCACTGATGTATTTCAAGTGTTTATTACAGCAAGTAGTACAAAGTGGGCACACAGTAAATACTTAATAATTTTGTTAAATATCAGATCTGGCGGAGTAGAGTTTTGTTTGGGCATGTTAAGTCTGCATCCTGCTAAATATCTAAGATTAGATGCTGAGTAGCTGCATTTTCAGAACTCAGGATATGTGTCAACATATCCCAAGATACAAATTTGGGAGTCATCAACATACAGATGACATTAAAGTCATAGGATTGGTTGAAATCACTCAGGGAGATGGTATAGATTGAAAAGACAAGAAAACCCAAGAACAAACCTCGAAATATTCTAAAAGTTAGAGGACAGGTAAAGGAGGAGAGGCCAGCAAAAGAGATGGGGAAGCTGTATTCATTAAAGTGGTTGATAATCCAGGAGCATGTGGTATCACAAAAGCCAAGAGAGAACCCTTTTGGGGAAGGAGAGTGCTGTTGAGAGATTCAAGTACAAAGAGGAAAGAGAAGTGGTCACTTGTTGACAGCGAGGAGGTCGTTGGTGGACTTGACAAGAGCAGAGTCGGGGAGGTGGCAGCTGAAGTGTAGATAGCAGTTGCTCCCCTTGAGCACGTTCTCCAAAAGCAGAGCTTTTGAACAAGTTTTTTAAATGAGAAGGTGGCATGATAGCTGTTAAGATTATGATGAGAGGCTATAAGAGGAATAGTGTGAAAGCAAGACCATGAGACATGCAGAAGAGGCAATCTAAGACTAGTACTTTTTAATGCATCGGTAATGTGTACCCTCCCAGCCAGTGGTGGCTGCAACTGGCTCATACTGGCTCACAAGGGCCAATTATTGCTAAGTACACAAGCCAGTTATTAAACATAACCATCATTAAAAGCAAATTATGTAAACTTACAATTAAATAAAAATGTTAAAAACACAGATAATGAATACTCAAAACTCATAACTTTCTAATTATTTTACTACGTTTTAGTATTACCTATGTTCTAGAAGTTAATAATGGAGATTAAACATAAAAGTATGTCACATCTGTAGCCATGACATCATAAATAATTTTGTTTAAAACTGAGGAAATATTCTTCCAGCATTCAAGAACTATTATCCAATTCAGAAAATAAGTTGCTCACATCGCTGACGAATGATTACATTTTCAACCCGAGTCTTGTTGTTTTGCTCATACAGGGAAAGAAAAACATCAACCAGCATTGATGGTGAAACTACTTCAGTCATCAGTTGCAACCATAGGTTGTGTATGGATACAAGAGTTTGGCAAAACTCAGTGAAAGCATTCTGAGAGAATCAACTGGCTGAATGGAATTTGCAAGAAAGAGCAGTATATATTTTATTATTATTTGAAAATTGCTCATGACACATTTTTCTTTTCAATAAAGTTAGTAATAAACTTATGTGCATATATATACAAATATTTTTTGAAAAACCAGTTGTTAAACATTTTCCAGCATACCACTCCCTCCCACCAAACAACAGCACAGGCCCAGCATCCCTATTCATGCCCTTGAATGTTAGAATCTGGCTGATTGCAATGAAATAACAATAGAATTAGAGATGCCAAGTGGAGAAAGTGGGTATGCACAACCCTTCGGGAAGTTTGAGAATAAAGCAGACAGCAGCTAGTGGTGGATTTGGGGTCAAGGAAGAATTCTTAAAGAAAGAAGACACGAAAATATATTTATATGCTGATGGGAATGACCCAGTAGACCAGAGAAAAGTTGATGATGATGGAGAAAGAGATTACAGGAACAAAGTCCTCGAGAAGGTAGGAGGGGGTAGAATTAAGAGTACAAGTGGAGTTCTTGGCATTTATATGTAACAGAGAGAAAAGCAGAGAATACAATCAAGATGATGGTTAGTGGGCAGGTTGGGAAAAAATCCCATAGCAGGAAACTCGAGGAGACAATTCATATATTAGTTATGAGGAGAGGGGTGGAAGCGGCATAATGGCGAGATTAACTTTAATCTCCGTCCTAAATCCTGAGAGGCTAGGATTTGGAGATGGGAAACATAAAAGCCATTAGCGTCTATAAATTGGGCACATTTCAACTGTAACTACACCTAAAAGCACACTGAAGTCAGTGTTCCTGATTTTCAAGGTGCTTTTTTCATTTTAAATGTTTAGTGACCATTTAGGGAAGCCCTATGTTTTGTGGAAAACCGCAAAACAACTAGCCAGCTTTTCCTTTGCTAACACTTTCCTTCAGCACTAAAAAATGAGGATCCTATTCCCTCTTTCTCTGTACACGCCTTTGGGAATAAGTCCCACACCACTGCTGCTGCAGCTGCTGTCTCTCCCAGACTAACCCTGTTGGGGTGGGGGAAGCAAGTGGAGGCAAGCACCTCTGAGAAGAAAGTTTTAAAAATGCCTTACTTGTTACACCAATAAGAGTTGTAATGGCCAGATCCTGGAACAGAAACTGGTAATTTGAAAGGCTGTTCGTCTCCTGAAAATAAAAGGAAAGTGGCTCAAAAAAGTTGTGTCTTTCTGGGTGAAGTTTGCATCAATGGCATTCATTTTCTCGCTGCAACATGGGATTTGCAAGTAAATTACAAGGAGGTGGGGTGGTCAGGGGCCTGTTCACATTGGTGGGAGCACTCAGAGACAAGGCTGCGAAGTCCTCTCTAACCGGGTGGGCCACCATCATGTGCTTTCGAGGCTGGGTCCCTTGCACATCAATATCACCCCTCGTTGAGGGAAACATCTCACTTGACTAGATTTATCTCTGCTCTCTTTTCTAATTGTTAGCAAAAAAGTTGGGGTTTGATCTGGCACAATAAAACAGTGTGTTCCCAACAGTAGTAAGTGACAAATGTGTGCTATTACCCAAATTTTACCAATGGAGAATGAGAATAACTGAACCCACTATTTGCATTCTTGGGTGTTGTTAGAAAGTCCTGATAAAGCACTTTGATGTTCTTGAGGAAAAAATGGTCAGGTCTTCCTGATTTCAAATAACTTGCTTCCTTGTCCCACACCTCTTAGTAGAAAGGAGATAATGATGATCCATGTTTGACTCTACTTTTGAGCAAGAATTATCATGATTTCAAAATAGGGCCAAATTTCTAAAATAGCTTCTCCTTCTCCAGCTCATTCATTGGTGAGTGGGAAAAGACATGGGTAATCTGAAAATAACAGAACTAAAACTTTCAACCCAGGAGCAAGAGGGCACGACAGAGAGATGAATCTAGATATCTCCAGCACAAATAGAATTCACTTTCTCAGTTTTAGTTAATAGAAGAAGCTCACATGCTGAGTTCACAAACGATGGTCATATGTTTTCTCTTATTATATTTTTTTAAATAGTGAAAACCATCACAAGACCTGTGTATTTTTTGCGGTATGATATGATAATTTTTAAATCCCTATATTCAGGGGATCAGTGATATGCTGGCTCATGAGAGTCAGTTGATAAATTTTTAGGAATTTTGTGAACTGGTTCTTGAACATAGCTGATATAAAAACTTAAATTATATAAATTTGCCATTAAATAAATTATACTAAAAACAAAAGTAATGAATACTCAAAACAGCACTTCCTAATCATTTTCCTACATTTTACTCTTATCTATGCTCTTGAGGTTATTTACAACTCTTATATCTATATGGTGCAAGAACCATATAATGGTATGCTACTGTACATCTCTTCCCAACTCCATGTTCAGTGACATCAGGTCACTGAAACTAGCCAACTTAAAACTAGCCATGGTGAGAATATTTACTCCACTGAAATTGGCAAACATTAATAATCAGGGCTTGATTTTCCAGGGAGAGCCAGTTATGAAACATTTACCAGCATCTCAATCAGAGAATCATCTCTTTAATGAATGGTATGCTCAGGTAGAGCCACAATGGAATTGGGAAGATAGAGACCTTGTCCAAGCAGGTGAAAGCAACAGTGAGAGAGAAAGTGATATATTCAGTTCTGATCCTCAGCTACCACTAGATAAAAAGCTTCTATGTCAGAAAGTCAGAGAATTGACACCAACAACTTTTCCTGTGTACCTTTGTCTATTTCTGATTTACTTTCAAAAACTTTAAGTTTTAGAGGGGCTCTTGGTGCTTGAATATCCCATTTGCACTCTCTCTTCGAGAGGCATTGCAAATGGAGAGTGCACCACCATGTGTTTTAGTTCTCACTAACCAAGAGGCTAGGTTCCAAGTCATACCCAGTAGAGCAGCAGAACACCAACATACTGAATCATGCTGTACAGGGCCATGTACTTAAACATGCAAAATGAGGTCACAAGAGCTGCACGTCCTTCCCTGTGTGAGAAAAGAAATTGACATGAAAGTAATGGAAAGAAGTGAGGTCAGTTATTCTGTGCTGTTCAGCTGAGCTCAGGAGAAAAAGATCTAAGGCCTGATTATTTGATTGTTTGTCTGACAGACTGGACAGCCTTGAGCCAGGGGAGCTGGCTGTCAGGATGCTCGATGACCACATTTAGCATATGCCGGGCCAAGGTCCACAGGCCTTGATCCAGCCATGGAGCCCAGATGCAGAGTTACTCCCATCCTTACTATGGGCGTTATCTCAGCTCAGAATCAGAGGACCTGGGAACTGGCCCCAGATGTCATTCTTACTCACTAATGTGATTTGTAAGGTCATTTCCCCTCTCTCGGTCACAGTTTCTTTGTCTGTGAACTAAGGTATTTAAATAAGATTGTAGGTTTGGAGGCTGTTTTCATGCAGGTGCTTCAGGAATTTGGCAAACATTTCATTCAAATTTCATTTGGTAGTCCCAACTTTTTCTAAAACTGGGCTGAAAAAACATGCACACTCAAAGTAGTCATGATATATGACTAATTTAAATAGACCAGAAACAATGAGCATGTTTATTTGTGATACTGTTAATTGACTTTGAGTAACTAGTATATATTTAAAGCACAAAATAGATTACTTATAAAGTGCCATTTTTATCTCTTTCATTTGGGAAAAAAATAGAGTTGAAATTTACTTCTGGTCATAGTGGTTTCCTGAGATTCCAAAACCTGATCCTCAAACCAGGCTTTTTCCTGTATCAGGGCTTTGCTGCCGCCATTTGCTCTGCCTAGGAGGTAGTTTCTCCTGATCCCTCTCCTTCTTAGAAAGGCTCCTCCTTACCACCTCGTCTGAAGCAGCCAATTCCAGCTCCCCAGCCGTCCTCCTTCCTTTCACATTCCTCTTGATTTAGCCGTGTATGTGTTTACTGCCTGACTTGTTTACCAGAAGAAATCTTCACAAGATCAAAGGATGTTTGATTTACTTGCTTCTGGGTTCCAGAAGCCTCCACCAGTTCCTGGTACTAAGGGCCTACTCTATAAATATTTGCTGAATGCATGAAGGAATAAAAAACAACTGGGAGGAGCTGCCCAAGTCATTATTTTAATGGTGGTGGAAAGAGTACGATATTTGTAGATAAAACACATTTAAACAAAATCAATTCTAATACAAAATCCAATCCTACATGGATGTGTGAGCTTGGGCACATCAACTAAGTTGTCTGAGCCTCCATTTCTTTATTTGTAAAAGAAATAGTGACCATTTCTGCATCTCCAGGCTGTTTTGAAGCATAAGATAATAGGCATTAAAGCACTTTATAAGCTGTAAATATGTACTAGTTGTAATAACCCAAAGCAGCCACAATGCTAACCACCTCTATCATTCAATAAAATGTAGCAGAAGTACATACTCTAGGGAGGCATGGAGGGAATAATGTCCCAAGGAAAATTTTAGTAGGAACAGCAAAGACGAATAAATATTTCGAAAACTGAGGATAGAAAGGATATTCCAAGGAGGCATAAAGAGGCAAGAAGAAAGGAAGGCAAGCGAAGAAAAGGAAGTTTCTGTCCATCCCCCATTATAAAGTATCTAAGGAGATACATTTAAAATAATAATAATAACAGCATGATTGACATTTTCAGAGCATAACAAGTTCCAGATTCCAATCTTCTAAAAGAACCTATTCAATGATTTTCATTAGAAATGCCACAGCTCTCTCAGGCTTATTTTTAACTCCTGGCAAGTCCACTGGGGAGTAGAATGTTTGACTACATTCTCCCACAAAGCACCCTCCCTTCCCAAGGACACAAAGTTTCTCTGGTCTCTGCCCTGCAGAGCAGTGGGCTCTACTCCTGAAAGTCAGGAGAGAGTAAAACAATGCTGGGGGGAAAGTGCCTACTTACTTGATAAGGTGAGGGACGCACTCAATGTTTGGAGTTTTGGAAGTGAAAGGCGAGGCCACAGATGCCTCCTGCTCTGATAAAGAGATGCCCACGTGAGCCATTTTCAAAGCCTGAAAGCAAAGAGTCAGCTTACTGTCCACACACACTCACATACATCTCTCCTGGGGCCACATAAGAAAAGGCTAGTTAAGCTGCCCACAGGTGGCTGGTGGGCCCCCGCACTAGCCAGGAGACCATCGGATTTTGTGTGCCTGCTGCATAAGAAAGAGATAGCACCAAGACACCTAGCCAAAGAAGTGGGGACCTCAGAACCAAATTCTGCTCCATTTAGTCTATATTGACCAATGAGTCATTGTTTGGCTTTAGTCGAAACCTTCCCAAACCCTCGACATCAGTTTTTCCATCAGGAAGAATGGAGGTGGTGTATATTCCAGGAGATCCTATCTCTAAGGGGCTCCGGGCAAGAACAGTGAAGTCCGTGATTGTGTCTCCACACGTTGGCAGCTACTTACCCCACAGTCATTGGCTCCATCACCGCACATACCTACAAAATAACTAAAAGGAAACCATGTCAATTGTAAAGGAGATCAAAGCAATCTTACCTGCTAATTTCTCTAACTAAAAAGATAAAATGAACTTTATTCCTTGGGTTTCAAACTTATTATTTATTTTAAGGGAATTTCCCAACAGTCTGGCTTGACTAAGAGCAAAGTGTGACTCAACAGGTCCTACAACTGATTAAGAAGTCCGGCACACCATTCCTGCCTGCAAGTGTTTCAGGGAGATCCTGCACTTCACTGCTTAGGAAGCAGTTTTTTCAGCTGTAGAACAGAGAAGCTCACAATTGGATGGTGAGATAGCACGGCACAGTGGGGAGGGCACAGGATTTGTAGGAGAAGATCCAGATCTTTGATCTGATCACTTTCCCATTTTGACTAGCATTTTTCTCCCCTACAAAGTGTTATGAGTATTCAGTGAGGTGCTGTATGGGAAAGTCCCTTATAAATTCTAAAATGATAAATAAGAATTAGTTGTTGGCTGACTCCCAGAGAGTAATTTATGAACAGGAAGTCACTGGTTTTGATCTGTGGGGGGCCCACTCTGTAGTTCAGAAGGTGAATAGACTTAAATATCTTCATAGACTGTTCATACTTTGGATCTTGATTTATAGGGTTAGAGTTAACTTCAATTTGCCTAATTTTATTCCATTATCTCTAACTTTGTCATCCATTGTTAATAACATCAACTATACATCCACTGTTTGTAGAACCCTCTGTCTTCCTTCTAGTTTTCTAACCCCTTTTAAGGGATATATTTTGTTTTCTTTTGACAAAATTTATATTTGTTCTTCTCCCCTCCAGTGGACTGAGAAAACAAAGTGTTCTATGGGGGAGAAATATTTAATGTGAAAAGATTTCTATTCTGTGACCTCATCTGGACATCCTAATTTGGACAGTCTACAATAAAACTTGATTATTTTGGAGGACAAAAAAAAAGAATTAGTTGTTGGTGCTGCTAATAGTAACATGAGAGGAAATCTGCTGTGTCAGCAGTCATTCAATCAAAAATGCAATGCCAGGCCCGGAAGTTGAAGAAAGAAAATACATCCCCACTTCAGGATCACTTTCTGAGGCTGGGTGAATACTACTCTCTTGAATTGTTGACAAAGACTATGGACAGTCTGCTTTATAAGGTAGAAGCTCTCTGACAGCATTTACAGAATTCGCTGTACTTCTCTTCCACACTGCTATATGAAGGCAACTAGTTTACCGTCCAGGTTTTCAACCATGTTGAGAAGACAGGGTTTTCCGAATTGAGAAGCTTGCCTAGTAAGTGAATCAAGTGAGTAGGAGGATGGAGTAGGAGTGAGTAGGTGTAGGAGTCATGTTGATGTGGTCCAGCGCCAGAAGTAGAGAAAGCCTCCAGGAGTCCCTGGGGTTCCATTAACAAGAAATAAAGGATCTCAAATGATGGGCAGTTTGTTTGCACTGCCCACTCTGTCAACGGAGACCCTTTGTGTTAGAAGAGAAGTATTTTTCTGATTTAGGATGGAGAGGATGTGTTGGCATAAGAATGTTTTAATATTTTTAGGGTTATGTGAATCTCTTGTCATATGTATCTCTCTGTATCATAACCGTGATGATAATTTGCAAAAATGAAGTCTAAATTTTCATTGTACTTTCAGAATCTGAGCTCAAATTACCTTTCTCAGCTTATTTCTCACCATACCCTTTCATGCCCCTTATGTTCTAGTTCAGTGGTCCTCAACTCTGGAAGCAAAGTTGATTTATGTGAGGATCTTTGAAAAAATACTGATGTCCAAGCCCTACGTGAGCAATTAAATCAGAATCTCTGTATGGTCATGTCCTGGTATTGCTATTTTTTCAAAGCTCTTGAGGTGACTGTTATGTGCAGCCAGGTTAACAACTGCTGCCCTAGCTAAACTGAGTGACATATTCTTTTTACACTCCCCCTGACTGTTACGCCTCCACGCACTTCATACCACCTGGATTGGTAAAGAACTCACTCCAGTCTCTGAAATTCTTCCACCAAACTGGACTTCTGCCCAGGAGACATTCTTGCAAAGATGGTCCCATTGATTAGTATCTGTGAGGAACCCAAAACGGAAATTTCTTATCATGTCAGCTGATCATACATGAAATAATTGAAAACACTCAGAACACTGACTGGGTAATGATATCCATGAATGAGAAAAAAATTTATTTCCAAGAAGTCTTCCTTTGGATTTTAAGACATACACTGAGAACTTGGTCATCAGAAAAGTCACCAGGGAGACCGAAATCGGTAATAATGACTACTTAACAAAAATATTTGATGAAAATGATGACCTACAGGAATTTAGCTCAGCTACTACAGAGAATGTGGTACTAAAAAACCCTGAGCTTAATGGAAACTTAAACCAGTAGAGTATGAGAAATTGAAGATAATAAGAGATCAGGATCCCAGGAAAAGGAAAGAAGGCAACTACATCTCAGAAAATTCTTCACAACTAGCGGAAAAACAGCCTAACAGTGAAGAAGTGACTATTTGCAGTCCTTGACTTAACCATAACATCTGGGCTTGACCAATTGTGAAACTCAGCTGATATCCCAAAGCCTAATTTGGGCTATGGAACATTGATGGTTTGATGGTATAAAAATCTATACTAGCTCCATCCACCTGAGCTCCATTCTACAGAGTCTAAATTCTTCTCTGTTAGATCTGTCTATGTGCTCCCTGCTCTTCTTGGCAGTAAACTCAGCTTAGTATTCACTCAGCCTCAAAGTCTTTATTCTTTTTTTCTTAAACAGTGCCTAAGATGATGAGCAACTGAATACAAATAATTTATCTTCGGGTTACATTAGACACAGTCTTTCTCTAGTTTGATCACATGCTATATATATATATAATTTACCTGTCCGCACTATGGGTTTGATCTTCATCGGTAAAGTTTTAAGTTAGACCCTCTTCTGTATAGAGTTCCTCTAACAAAAACCTGATGAAATTCCTCTCTTCTTGGCTTGCCTTCCTGTATAATTGCTGGATTTCCCCTCTACTGTGAGACCCCTAACCATGGCAATATAGTAACAGCTACCCAAAAGCAATCCTTATGACTTGAGAAGTCACTGATACTTTAATCCTATAGATGACAGAAAATTGGCTAATCAAGTTTACTTACTTTAAATCTAGTAGGAAATGAGACAATAGGAACCTCTACAAAAATATCTGCCTCTCTTATGATACATTCAATAGGTGTATCTTCCCTATTTAGAGGTTTGAAATCACTAAGGATCATGCTCTGTAAGTGACATTGTCAGCATCTTTGCTGGGAGATTGGTACCCTCTTAGACCTTACCTTTGGTAGTAGGCTGTTGAAATGTTGACTTATAACCTGAAAGGATTTTCCACTTAAGGCAAAATGGTAACTTCCTTCTCTGCTATTATCAGAGACTTCTTCCCTGATGTTAATGTAATTGTCCTGCAAAGCAAGAAACAATTATTTTAGATTTGATAGAGTGGTTAGGATATCTAAGCACATCTAAAATAAGGCAACGATGACCATCCAGAGTCTCTCTTTAAAAGTCACACTCCAGGGGCCAGCCCGGTGGCGCAAGTGGTTAAGTGCACGTGCTCCGCTGCGGTGGCCCGGGGTTCGCCGGCCCGGATCCTGGGCGCTCACCGACGCACCGCTTGGCAAGACATGCTGTGGCGGTGTCCCATATATGGTAGAGGAAGATGGGCATGGATGTTAGCCCAGGGCCAGTCTTCCTCAGCCAAAAGAGGAGGATTGGCAGGTGTTAGCTCAAGGCTGATCTTCCTCACAAAAAAAAAAAAAAAAAAAAGTCACACTCCAGCCCTGATTCCTGAGAGAAGCACTTTCCCTTTGCTGGATCAATCTTTGCACATCACAGCCTCTAGTGAATAGGAGAATATCACTTACTCATGTCCTGTTCTCATTCTGATTTGATCTCGGTGAGTCCCAGAGAACAGCACATTTCACACATTTCAAGTGTAAAATACAAAAACACTGCAGCTTAACACTTCTCTCCCTGAAGTGAGAACTTACAAATTTTTTTCTTACAGAATTAGTACTGTTCCACAAGGACACAATAGAGATAGGATACTGACAAGATTGGAGATAAACAAATAAAACTTTTTCTCCCACCCTGAAGACAAAGTCTGATTTTCCAATGTACACAGCCGTATCTCTCCTAGGGATTAAATCCCCTTTGAACCCAATGCAATGGCTGGCAAGCAAGGGAAAAATGGAAAATCAGGTTTGCAGTCTCATTTACTATATTCTTTCTCATAAATAGCTAAAGACTTTTTTAAGTTTAAAAGCACCCAGGAAAGCACTGCATCTTAAAGCTCAGTAGGAACGGTATGGGAAACTGATATAATTGAGTTCATTGAACTGCATATGTGTTAGACATTCAGAGAAGTATATTGACCCTAGGTCACCTGTACACCTCTGCCGGTGGAAGCTGCTCAGGTGCCAAAACTGTGAGACAAGTTAGATAATATGGCAGAAGATCTGTTTTTAGGCATACCTGATGCCCATATGCAATATGTTTCCTCTCTTCTACTAATTTCCAAGATATAGACGCTGATGAGGACCCAGTGGTTTCATTTGCTTCAATAAGAATGACTTTCTGGCTTTCAGAAACCATTCCAGACTTCCTGGCCACTGTGATTGCAGTCTGAAGATTGTCACCTAGAAGAAAGGAAGAGTATCCCAAGATGAGATTGAAGAGACAGAACTAATTCATACAGAGGCTGGAAAACTGGGATAAGGAGTTCAGATCTTATTTTAGGTGTGAAGAGAAATAATCTCTAAGGTCTCACTCAGCCCTGACCTCCTATGATTCCATGATCTCTTTTCTGGTTCTTACTGCTTTTCATCTGGTTACTTCACAACCGGTATATTTTTGTCAGAGTAGGAAGGCAAAATGAAAAGGCTAAATTCAAACCTATTTCTATCATTTGTTAATAGCTTGGTAAATGTTTGGCAAAAGCCTACTAGATTAATATGGTATCTGGTGGTTCCACTTGCAGCCAAGATGGAGTAAGCCTTCTACTATTTCCCACTGATTACAATGGAAAACTCTGGACAAAATATAAAAAGCAAGTACCCAAGGACTTTGAAAAATAAACATAAACAGGCAGAATGTGGGAGGGAGTTAAATTTGGAGAAACCATCTACAAGGTGGTGGTGAGATTCTCAATTCTTTTTCTATTTCCTCTCACATATTTGACCTGAGTGTGAGCCCCAGTACCCAGAGCTGTGCAGGTAGCTCAAACTCAGAGAAACCTAGTTTTCATGGCCAGAGGAACCAGGAAAAGGGGCACCTGAGGGCTGAAGAGTTATAGGGGAAATCCCAGAAAGGAGAGAGCTAGACAAGGAGACTAATTCAGTGTATGAGCTGTGTAAGTCCCAGGCTCAACTCAGACCTCTGCCTGTGCAGAACAAAGCCAAAGAAGGATAGCAAAAGTTTCAAGAATTGAGCTATGATGTTAATCACCTCCAATGTCCTAGAGTTATGTTTACTAAAACAAAAAAACTCAACATTTTCCAGAGGATTTTAACAGCATCCAGAGTCTCATATCTATAATATTCAAAATGTTCGGGATATTCTACATAGGAAAATCCTGGAACATTCGGCCAATTCTCAAGAAAAAACAATCAACAGTTATCTATCTCATGATGACCCAGATGTTGGAATTATCAGACAACAGTTTTAAAGCAGCTATTATAAGCCTCCTCCATGTGGTAAAGGTTAATACTCTTGAAATAAATGACAAAAGATAAGTTCTCAGCTGAAAAAAAATATACTCTGTACAAAAAGAACCAAATGGCTATTTTAGAATTGAGCAATATAATAACTGAAATAAAAAAATTCACTGGATGCACTCAATAGTAGAATGAAGATGATAGGAGAAAGAGTCAGTGAACTTGAAGATAGATCAATAGAAATTATACAATCTGAAGAACAGAGAGAAAATTTAAGAAACAAAAGAATAGTGACTGAAGAATATCAAAAGGCTCACATTCAGGTCATTAGAGTCCAAGAAGGAGAGAAGAAAGAAATTGAAATGGGAAAAAAATTTTGAATAAATAATAGCAGAAAAATTTCCAAATATGGGAAAAGATTTAAATTTACAGATTCAAGAAGCTCAGTGAATCCCAAACAAGATAAACTCAGTGAGAACCACACCCAGAACATTATAATCAAACTTCTAAAAACCCAAAGATACAGAAAATATCCTAAAAGCAGCTAGAGAAAACAATACATTACATATAAGGGCATGATTATTCAAATTATCAAAGATTTCTCATCAAAAACCACAAAGGCAAAATGACAGTGAAACAACATCTTTAAAGTGTTGAGAAAAGAACTGTCAATTCAGACTCCTATAGCTAGCAAAAATATCCTTCAGGAATGAAGGAGCAATAGTCAGACATTCTTAGATGAAAGGAAACTAAGATAATTTGTTGCCGGCAGACATGTTCAAAAAGAAATGCTAAAACAAGTTCTTCAGGCTGAAAGGAAATGACACCAGAGGGAAACTTGTGACATAAGGAATGAAAACATAGCAACAGAAATAATAAGGATCTGGGTAAACGTTACAGTCTCTTTTTCTTCATTTATGTTCTTTAACTCTTGACTGTTGAAAGTAAAAACTTTAACGATGTCTGGTAGAGTTTTCATTGTCTGTCATACATGTGACAACTATAACATAAGGGAGAAAAGGTAAGGGACATTATGGTGGTAAGCGTTCTTGAAAGGGCAGGTACAGATATTGTTATTCGCAGAGCAATCATTAAAAAATGTATAACATAACACCTGGGTGGCTATCCCTAACACGGCTTCTCCCAGGTTTCTACCAAAATACTTATGAGGATCCTCAAAAGAGCTAACTAGTGGGAAGGAGCTGTTCTACCTTGAGGTTGGAAGAGTACAGCGAGCCCCAAGAGCTGAGAGGCTTCCTCCACAAGCCTCAGCAGGGCACCAGCAGCCAGTCTGCATGCAACGCAGACCCATGTTGCACCCACCGCCCGAGAGAGTTCTACTGTTTAGGATATGCAGCCCAGGCCTGAGCCTCAATCATCTGACGAAGGAATATAACAACTTATTTAAGAAGTCCCGGAAGCTAGATAGGAAAAGATCAGGCGGGACAATGAGAACACGTGACTGGTGAAGCAGAGTAGCTGCTGAAGAGAAATGAAACCTGCATTAAAAGTAATGAGTGCACTTAACGAAACTCAAATGCAGCACACACACACACACACAGAAAGGGTTTCTAGAGCCGCTCCCACCCCAAAACATAATTTAAGAACTTAACGATTCAACAAGTGATTCAAAAGAGATAATGGTTATGTTTGAGACTTCAGTTTGTGGTTTGGAAAAAATGGATGCAAAAAAAATCTTAAAGGGCTGGCCTGGTGGCACGGTGGTTAAGTTCATGAGCTTCTCTTTGGCGTCCCAGGGTTTGCAGGTTCGGATCCTGGGTGTGGACCTACGCACTGCTCATCAAGCCATGCTGTGGTGGCATCTCATATGCAAAATAGAGGAAGATGGGCACAGGTGTTAGCTCAGGGCTAATCTTCCTCAGCAAAAAGAGGAAGATTGGCAATGGATGTTAGCTCAGGGATGATCTTCCTCACCAAAAAAAAAAATCTTAAAGCACAAAGCAAAATCATAAAAATGTGAGAGTCACAAGAAAAAAGATAAGAGACTGAGAGGATAGATCTAGGAGGCCTGTCATGTGAATAATAGAAATTCCAGAAGGGAAAAAGGAAAGAAAGAGAACAAAGGTAATACTTAAAAGACCAATAGAAGAAATTATCCTGAGAGGAAGAAGACAGATTACAAGTGCTCACTATGTTCCAGGCTAAATTAATGAAAAAAGACAGACATATAGACATACCCTGGTAATATTTCTTTCTTTTTCTTTTTTTTTTTTTTTTGTGAGGAAGATCAGCTCTGAGCTAACATCCATGCCAATCCTCCTCTTTTTGCTGAGGAAGACCGGCCCTGAGCTAACATCTATTGTCAATCCTCCTCCTTGTTTTCCCCAAAGACCCAGTAGATAGTTGTATGTTATAGTTGCACATCCTTCTAGTTCCTGTATGTGGGACACCACTTCAGCATGGCCCAACAAGCAGTGCGTCAGTGTGCGCCCAGGATCCGAACCCGGGCCGCCAGTAGCAGAGCACGCACACTTAACGGCTAAACCACGGGGCCGGCCCCTCTGGTAATATTTCTAAACTCCAAAGTTAAAGAAAAAGGATTATATGCTGCAAAGAACAAGTTACCTACAGTGGACTGCCATTGCACTTGTAATATGCAATATCAAAAACCAGAAGACCAAGGAATAATACCTACAGACCACTAATAAAAAAAGACTCTAACCCCAAAATCCTATACCCAGGGAAGATATCATTCCCTTGTCAGAGCAAAGAAAGATATTCCAGGATATGTAAGAAATCAGAGAGCATATCACCCTTCTTTCTTGTCCAAGGACAATTCTTGAGAAAAAATTATAGCCAAGTAAGGAAAGAAACAGAACAGAAATTTCAGTATGAGGGAAGAAGTAAAGAAAGAGGATGAAGAGTGAGCAACTCTTATTTCTACATAAATCTAAATGGTTAAGGATAGATTATGAGAATGTGTAATGTAAGTGCTAAATAGAGATTCTGAAACAGAAGGTTCATAATGTAAGGGAAATTCTAATAAGTAGTAAATTAACTCAGCAACACCTAGATGTTGGATGGAGGTGCTAGAAGTGGAGAGAGTAAAAGTGACAAAAGTCTCTTGGATTGTGGGAGGAGACTAGGGGGATGGAGAAGGATAGAGGGGGAGGTAAAAACATTCTAGAGTTCCCAACCATAGAACTGGGTTCAGGGGAAGTGAGATGGGTAGTAAGTGCTTTGGTGGGGAAATATTGGATCTTTTTGGTAACACAATTAATGGAGTTGAATGCATCTACCTATGAGAGCAGGGAAAGGAAGGCACATACTCAAAAACTATGAATGCGTTAGGAAATCATCTACCCTCCATTCAGAAGCATTCGTTACGAAATTTCACACGTTTCTCTTGCATAACCCTTTCTCACTGCTCCCTTGGGTGTGTGTTTGGGGTTTGGGAATACGAGTAGAGGAGACAGCAATTTTATCTCCAAAATCGTAGATCTCATTATTGACGGGCCTTAAGCATAGTTTATAGACCACAGTGACTAACCATTCTTCTTCTCCTAACATTTAACAATAAAAATCATCATCTTTGTATGGTTCACGTCTTCTCATTCAAGTGACATCTCACTTGTCCACTCAGAGAAGACGCCTCATCTAAAGTAGCCCGTCAGATACACTTTACTACATCACTCTGTTTTGTGTCACATACGTCATAATACTTATTACCAGCTATTTATTTGATTGATTGGCTAATGGATGGATTGATGGATGGATCGATTTTCTATCTCATCCCACCTGAATGGAAGCTCGGTGAGAGCAGGAACTCTGCCTCTTTTGTTGCCCATCTCCAGCACCTAGAATGGTGTGTCTGGCCCATAGCAAGTGGTCAACAATATTTGCTAGATGAGTGAATCTCTGTCTGTCTACATCAAATTCTTACTGCTTTCACATACACTTTGTTCTGTACCTGTGATCATTACGGTCCTTATCCGGGCCGAGATGAGCTCTTCCAGGACAGGTTTTGTCTCTTCCTTCAATCGATTTTCCAAGATCAACAACCCCAGAAATATCAGATCTGATTCTACCTTGTCCCTGGAAGTATATACATGATTGAACAGAAATAGCATATTATAGTCTTTTTTACAGGAAGCAAAACAAAAACAAAGACAAATATCTTCCTGTCAGAGTGGTTCCCACCCATCCATTTAAGCACTGTTCCTTAGACACAGAGTATGTGCCAAAGAACTTTCCAGAAAGACAGGAGGGGGACACAAAGGATACTGAGACATTTATTTTGACCGAATCAAGAGGAAGAGAGAGTACTTATTAAGCAAAAGGTTTGCTTTAACTCTGTAAAGAATGAACTAAATGACTGCAAAGTTCTCTTCCATCTGCTATGGTGATTTTCATCACCTCATCTGTTAGCAACCACCGGAGAGGAGTTCTAGCTGTGGTACAAAACATCGTGAAAAATAAATGAGGCACAAGAAAAATAAAATAAAATGCCAATTTTCTAGAAACCAAGGCTATAATCAATACCATTTTAGCCCCAGGAGATATGAGGTCATAATCTCAAAATAAATGGCCCCTCTTTTAAGGCTGAGCCCCTCCCTCCCTTTCTCCCACAGCTGGTAGCATTGGCCTTCTGCATAAAGTACGAATGTTTCTGCAAGTAAGTGAGGCCTCTGAGGCTCCCGTTCACCACAAGAATATTTCCAAGATATTCCCCAGGAGCAAGTGCAGGGGAGTATACTTGGTATTGGGGGTTCAAAGATTATTCCATGATTCATTTATCTGAGACCCAAATATCTCTAGCAGACACAAGAGCAAGACACCAGCTCCGCCTAAATCTGGCTGAAATACAGATGAAAACGGCGCCCAGAAAAGCCACCTTGCCTTGCTGGCCATGTGCATCTCAATGCTGGGCCTCACATAGGTCAGGGGCGTCACCTAGAGTTAGTGATGCTTCCAGGACACTGCTAACACCTCCACCAGAGGGGCAGGAAGTGGACACAGCCTGGACGACTTGCCTCAGAGCAGGCTCAAGAGGATGGCATTTCCTATTCTTCGGAACCCAGCATTTAAGTCTCTCCATAATCTGATTCCAAACTATCTTTCCAGCTTCATCTATCACTAAATTCTTCACCCACCCTAACTTCCAGCCAATTTGGACCACTCACCATGGGTATGCTCTGTATTCAACCATCTCTAAACGTTTGCTCTAGACTGCCATGAGACATTCTTTCTTATTTCACAGAAAAAGTTATAAGTTCCCCATTATCTAGTACTGAAATCCTTCCTATATTTTGAGGCCCAACTCACATGCGCCTCTCCATAAAGGCTTCCTTGGATAGAAATAATTGCTCCCTCAGCATGTTACTTCTACTTCAGTTTAGCTTGTACTTATTTGTCCATATATTATCATTCTTTGCTATCTGATCTGTCTGTCTCAACTCATTGAGGGCAAGCCTGCCTGGGTCAACAAGTTCAGTAACACCCACATGGTGCCCCAGAGGAAGTGCTTGGCAAATGTTCACCTAGTTGAAAGGCTCTGATGCCTACTGTGACCATTTTTTGTCAGGGAACCTGGGGAAATTTATTTCCTCCTTTAGAAATTCTACTGCCAGAAGGTTCTCATGGGAACTGAAGTCGGTCAATCTGTCAAATCAATGACATTTGCTGAATATCTAAATAAGTGCAAGGAACCGGGCTAAGGAAAAGGGGAAGAGAATATGCAGAGACTGCATGAGTATTCAATCTGAGCCAGGAAATAAAGAGAAGTAGTCCCTCTAGGGGTCTCAAGCTCTGCAACTTGGAATAGCATGCTATCCTTTCCTGCTTCCTGCATAGACATTATACCTCCTCCTGAAGCATCCAAAAATAATACAGAATTGGGCATGTAATGCAAACAAGCATTGTCATCCCTGTGATTACTCTTAATGTTCTTAAAATCTATGTGATTTTTAAAAGATGAAATATGCATAAAGCAGGCCAAGAACCTTCAAAGAAATTATGATATCGTTGCTGGAAGCACTCTGAGTAACCACACACACACACACACACCCCGTCCCCACCCCACAGAAAGAGTGTTCTGCTCTAATTAGGGATTAGTAAAGGTTAGGTCAACTAACTTAGCCATGAGTATAAGAAAGAGTGTTCTGCTCTAATCAGGGATTAGTAAAGGTTAGGTAAACTAACTTAGCCATGAGTATAAGCAGTGGTGATGTGGCTTTAACACAGGAGGGGTCAAATTGACAACCTAAGATCAGATCCTGTTAGTGAACTTGTGTTTAGACCTTACCAGATTTTTGAAAAGTTGAGATTTCAATGCCTTTGGCCAGGTCACATACTCTCCTGTGTGCTGCAGCCCTCACCATTCCCTATTGCTCATGTGCCTCCACCAGGAGTGCTTTGTGACATGCACCAGCCTGAAAGCCAGGAGTCTGAAACTTGTAGATATGCAAGTATTTTATGATAATAATCAGAAGCAGCAGCATAGTAGCCAGATTCTTGATACATCCCTGTCCACAGGCTCTCTGGAAACTTAAGTTCCATCCCTAATTCCTTCCATTCCCACATCCCTTGCCTGGACCCAAGTTTCCTCTTCTTTAAAATGTGAGATCCAATCTCAAAGTTCACTGTTAGCTCTCTGACTTGAGTGACCTGAGTTGATTAAATTACAGCAAATATCCAGAGTTGTAATAGCCAAAGTTTTAAGGGTCACATTAAGCTGGTCTCAGGGAGAGTGGCCCAATAAACCCAGGAATCCAATACTCAACAACTTCAATGAGCCACCTCCCCCTCTGGGCCTCACTGCCCATGCACAAAGTGACAGAGTTGGGACTCATCAGTGATTCTCAGCAGGGGTGGTACTGCCTCTAGAGGTCACTGGGGAAACATTTTAGACATGGATGCAAGATTTTCTGCATTGACCAATGCACAATGAAGAGTGATCCTGCATCCCACATGCTTTTTGAATATTTTACAGGACATTCATGGACACAAAAAATTGTTTATACCTTTCTAAGCCAGTACAGGCTTATACAGTTTACATTATACTATGATGATACTATATAGTATACTGTATTATTATAGTATACTTAATACTACTATATTATATTAAACACATATAAAATTGTTTATACTTCCCCCAGCTCTGCTTTACATATAAACACAAAGTATTTTTGCACATTTTTACTATTCTATTGAATTTTCCAGGAGTGTAACTACCATGTAAATTGCGAAAAGATTGTACTGTTTTATTCAGTTTTACCAAGAGTTTTTAAGCACTTCACAGAGTCACCCCACTGACAGCTAGATTGCAGGTAGTATTCAAGACTCCAGAGTCTAACCCACCTGTGTCAGTCTGCATTTCTAGCTGTTGCAGCCGCAATGACTCTACACACAGGTGCAAGCAATGTATCGCTTCATTTTCTTTTAGTGGAGTCAGCTGAGCATTTATTGAATTAGTCCCTTTTGTAATTCATTGTATTTTTTGCTTTTATTTTTACTATATAGGATGGCATTATATTTGTTTTTTTACAGAGAATATGTACAGATCATGTTACATATGAATTTTATTTTAGTATATTAAAGGATGTGGTACAAAATGTAGTTAGAATAAGAAAGTGTTGAGTCTGGCAGGGTTGAACATAAATATGTTAGACCTTCATATTTAAAATCCTAAATAACAAAATAAGCCTTGATAATCTCCCTAGTAGTATTACCAATAGTGGCTGACATAGGGCATTGGACATGGCATTGGATGTGAAATAAACACAATAGCCTCAAAACAGTGGAAAATAAAACAACAAATAAATTTGAACTAATAAATACTCCACTCCATTTTAGCTTTCGAGCATCCCAATTTTAATCTATACATATCAAAACTTTCTCTAGAATGGCCCCTCTGAAGCTTTTCTTGTTTTTCTAAAAACATTACCTAGACTATGTGTTAAGTCCAAGCTATATTTATTTGTTTTATTAACTTGTGTATTTCTTATCAAGAATTTTTTTCAGACAAATGTTATGTTTTCTAACTTTCAACTAATTCACCAACTATAATAAAAAATTAGCTGTTTGTATTTAGTTCAAAATGGGGGCATGACCACAATTTCAACCTCTCTGAAACATGGTTATATTTATATGTCTGTTTTCACCAAGCTGTACAATCACATTTCACAGTTTATACAGCTATTTCCCGTAAATTCCCTCAGTCATTGTTCATATCAGCTTTGTGATTTAGGAAGGTAAAGAATGACTATATCCTTGTTTCCCAAGTTCAGAAACATTCCACACACACAAATCCAGCAAGCTATGTGGCTGAGTTCACTGCACAGTCTGGTGCATCTTCCCACCAAACCATTCTGCTTTACCAAAATCCTCCCCATTTACCTCATCAAGGCAGTGGTATGGTGGTCCATTTCCAGCTTTTTGTAGGCCAGTGCTATGACCCGGAAGCCCTGTGTTGTGTAAATCTGAAGTTCACTAACAAAAGTAGTTGGTACTGTTCAGAAAATAACACAAGATTAGTATGCAATATTTACTCACTTGGAACTGGCAGAGAAATTCTTTACAAACAGATCCAATTCCTGCCCAAGAAACACTTCTCTAAAACAGTACACAAACACGTCAGTGGGAACCGTAAATATAACCACATTGCCAGGGTTGACCTTTTGGGATCCGGTGAAGCTGAAATGGGAAGCATTCAAAAAAAAAAAGGAAAAAGGATGGGAAAAGGGTATAATTCTTTTTTCTCTAGCTTAATCAGCAAACATTTATTGAGAATCTACTCTGTGTCAGGCATTGGCTCTGCAGAGATTGAACTGCAGGCCCTACTCTAAGGATCTGTGTCCAGTAGGGTAAAGGCTGGAAGGCTAGCAATACAATCAAATGAGACCAAAACTATGATCTGAGTAATTATGGCTGCTATGGAAGCACTGAGTGTGCATAGAGCAGGCTGGTAGGAAGTGGTTAGATGAAGGAAGGGAATGGGCGTTTTGGCTGAGGGAGCATCATGTGCATAGGCACAGAGAGAAGAGACAGCAAGCCTTGAGTTGTTAGTTTAGCTCAAGGGAAACACAGGTTGTGACAATAGGAAGGCATATCTGGAAAGTTTGATAGGAGTCAGATCATGAAGGCCTTATGTATTGTCCTAAGGGAGTTTGAGATTATCCTGGAGCCTATGGGAGGCAACCAAAAGAATAAAAGCAGGAAAGTGGCAACATAGTTGTACTATGTGATGGAAAAACCAATCTGGCCACAGTATGAAGGGTGAATCTGACTAGGGGAGATTGAGGGCAGGGGGTTAATTCATCAACTGTTGAATTGATGCAGTGGAAGGATGATGAGAACCTGAGCTGATGGAGACAGGGCCACGGATTAGCAATTGAAAAGATAAAGGCACTGAGGGAGAGGGAGGTATCAGGGGAAAATCCTAAACGGGGGGGGATGTTGGTACCATTCACCAACCTGGAAAATATAGGAAGTGAGAAAGATAGGCTTAATTCTGGTATTGAGTTTGGGATGCCAATGAGTCACCAATTGGCAATGACAGTGGGCAATAGGATTCATAGATCAAGCGCTGAGGGCACATATTTGAGCTGGAAATACAGATTTACCATTTGTAATACAAGTCTATTCACTTACCTGTCTCAGGTTGGCAAAAGCTGGCCACCTTCTCTGGTGCACCTTTCATAAAAGCCATCCGGTCACCCCACAGCTCTTGGACAATGACTGTCATCCTCTGCAGTGCTGATGAGAATGGGTACTGATGCAGGATTGCAATTCCTTCCACTGGGACCTGGTTGAGGGATGGCGAATGGAGAAGGACACACAGACACAGCTTCTAGCTACTGGGAATTAACTACTCCTCCCTCAATCCTTATTTTAGCAAATAAGGGAAACAAGGTCTCATCAATTTCACATGTGGAATTCAAAGAAAACACATCTGTGACCTTTCAAAATAGTGGACCTGATGGAACCTTCCCTTTGAGTTTGGGTATTGTGGGGTACACAGGAGGCAAGGCTTACCTGGCTGGCTGTTTTGCAGGGTTTAACTACCACAGCATGTGCCGGCACTCCTTTGACGTGGAAATCGTCCCCAGAAATAGCCATTTCCTATTTCACAAATAGGATATTTCATTGTAGGGAGTTATTCCTTGTTCATCCACTGATACTAGGCTCAAACCCTCCCCTTGAGAAAATCCTCAGACCAATCAATGTTTTATCGGTGTCTCCTCCCTCAGCTGGATGGAGGTGAACCAGACTTACTTCACCATGGGAAAAAACAATGCATTGGAAATGCTGTGGAACTTAAAGGGCAGACGCTTCTGAATTATTCATGCAATTTATCCTGCTTTCTCTGTTGGAATGTGCTGTATAAAGGCTCATTCTCATTTCTGAAGAGCTTAACTTGAAAACAGTGAGCATGCAGAGCCAGACTTCTGGTGTGTGAGGCAAGCACCTTACTGTCTTTCTTCTCCTGCTCTTCCCGCTCTTCCCTCTCTGTCTAATTTGGATTGATGGTCCTCAGGGTGCAGCAGGGCAGGGACTGTGATGGACACGGTTAATGTTCAGCAAACACCCAGTAATCGCTATAATTTGTTGTTAGCACCGTCGAGTGGATTCTCACTCCTAGCAACCCTGTGCACCGCAGAGCAGAACCCTGCCTGGTCTTTTCTGTGCCATCCTCTCGCTTTTCAGCTCTGGATCAGACAATGCTCCGTTTCTATTCATAGGGTTTTCATGGCCAATTTTTTCAGAAGTGGGTGGCCAGGTCCTTCTTCCTAGTCTGTCTAGGCTATAAGCTCCGCTGAAATCTGTCCACCATGGGTGACCCTGCTGGTAGTTGAAAGACTGGTGTCATAGCTTTCAGCATCACAGAAACACACAGCCACCACAGTGTGACGACGGACAGATGGGTGGTTTATTCCCTGACTCGGAAACAAACCCAGGCCCTAGTGGTAAGAGTGCAGAATCTTAACCACTAGACCACCAAGGCTGGGTAACAGCTATGATAATGACCCTATATTATAAGCAAAGCAACCTTTTACCCAAAGATGTCAAAATGCTTTGTAATCACCTCACTGAGCAGCTGAAAAAATCTGAGAGAGGAAAGTGTAATCCCAACTTAAAGACACAGAAATAGTAACCAGAAAGAATGGCAAAGTTACATCAGATGGCTACAGAACCATTGCTCGTAGAGTTGGAAGGACCCTAAAGTTGGTCTCCTTCAGTGGGACTCACACTTATTTCGCAGGGGCCCAGAGCTGTACCTCGCTACAAGGGTGGAGGTGGGCTTGTGGCTAAATAGGTAGGGATGTGTGTCCTGAAGCTTTCCCTTTCTTCCTCAAATTCTATCTCAACCAGAGCAACTCCAATTATTTGTGTTTTATAGGGTGCTTCTGAATAAGGTTTCCTTTTAAGAAAAGATTCCGGCTTTTTTGTTCCATTTTATGTGACCACTGCTGGTCTAATTCAATCTCATTATTTTAACGCCTGGGAAGTCAAAGTCCCAACAGAAGAGATGACTTCACAGGGTCAAGCAGTCAGTTAGAGCAGAGCCAAAACTAGAACCAAGAGAGCCAGATTCCTCATCCTGAACAACAACAGTTGCTCTTAAATGTACTTCAAAGTCTCAACAAAACTTTCATTGTTTTCCTTTTTATTGTTTCCAGCCTTAGAAACAAAATCAAGACTAAATTAATAGAAATAAAATGCTTGGTAACAATAAGTTATCCTAAGCACTGGTGACAGTAATGTTTCCTAATACTCATGTTCTAGAAAATTTGGAGAGGAGACATTGCTCATACTACAGTCTAAAGAGGTGGAAAATAACTATGTAATAACTATAATTCTATTAATACTACTGAGCCTGTAATACGTGCCAGGCACAGTATCAGGGAGTTCTTTAATGCATCATTCCATTTAATTCTCACAATAACCCTACCATAGAGATACATTGTACAGAGGAGAAAACCAGGCTTAGTTTAGTTTGCCCCTCACTGCTATATATCCACTATGTTGGAGACCTCACATTTTATAAGTATTGAATAGCTATAATAAAACCTGCATTGCTCTGGCATTGAAGAAGCTTCTTAGAGTTTCTGCAGAGCAGAGGCTTACCCAGGTGGTGGCTTCAAACATTTTGAGGTCCAGAGGATCTCCCTGGATGGTCTCATCCAGAAAAATCAGAGAGTGGCAGCTGGCCATGGCCGCACACAGTGGGCCCCACGGCAAAGCCCTGCCTGAGGCAAAGCTGTGGACTTCCTGGAAGCTAAAGAAGAAAAGAGAAAGAGCTTCAGTCCTATTCCTCCATGCCAAAATGGAGCTTCTGGACATGACCTTCTTTTTCAAAAGTAATTTAATGTGCTTTGTTACACTACATGCCTACTCTCTAATCCCCCCATATTAATAGTGCTTCATTCAGCCATCGTCCCTACATAAGTTCAATGAGTATGAGAAAGGTCTCTGAGGTTCTTTCAAGCTCTTTCTTCCCTCTTTTTCCTTACCCTCTCTCTGCAATGATTTAATTCCGGAGGTATGGAAAGAACTGCAAGTATCACCCTTAGTTCTAAGCACATCCTTTCCCACCCCAGCTTCCAGGCCACGTCACTTCCAATGCTGTGAGACAGAACAGGCTAGGTCATACTACAGCTGTTTGTGTATCTGTGTCTCCCTCAATCAATCCTTCAGGGTGGGGCTGTGTCTTCCATATCTCTCTCTCCAACAGATCTGATGTTCGGTCCACAGTAGACAGTCAATAAATGTATGAGTGAATAAATGAAGGAGTTTATTCTGAAAATGTGAAAGATCATAATGGTAAAGAAATGAACTCTAAAAACCATTTTTGAAAATGGTTTTCAACATCCCCCTCCTCCACCCTGGCATCTAGTGTCCCTATTGCAGCCATCATTGCCATCACCTCCTATAGAAAGTGGCTTCATCTAAAACCTACTGAGCTATAACTCAAATGTCATAGTCAGGGTTCTTTCACTAATTCAGAGTTGAAGTCATCAGGTTTGGCCTCGGGTCCCCTAGAGGAGTGTCCTCTGCAACCTTATTGTCAGTCCCTTCTTAAATGTGTAGCACAGTAGGTGGTTCACATAGCAGCCCATCTTGTTTGGAGGACCTCTGAGTGGCAGAAGGTGCTTCCTGAACTGAAGCAAAATCTGCTCCTTAGAGCTAGTCAGAATCTGCTTACTCTCGCTCCCCCACATGTCCACTTCCCTCAGATTTGTGGACCAGCTTGGCTGTTTCCCCTTTTTATCCTCCTTTTCTCTCAGGTTACATAGGAACCTCTAGCCTTGCCTCCAACATGCAGTTTCTAGACCTCTCACTTTCTTAGTTACTCTTTCTTGGAAACGTTTTTATTTGTCATAGCTTGTCTTAAACTGTGGTCTGCAAGATCAGACTATTATTTCTCATGATATGGGCGCTGCATTTCTTTAAATACAGCCTTAGTTTGCTCTAGTCTTTTGTTCTTGAAAGCATACACATCACACTGTTGACTCATAATTCAGCCTTATTTCTGCCTGGCTGCCCCATTCAAGTTCAAAAGGAGTTCAAAAACCTCCTGGCTGATTACTGATCCTGTTGATCACATCTATTATTAGATATCAAAAGATCAAGTTATCTTAGCGGTTTACAACGTTTCCCCTTGTATTTTAGTGAACACTAAAAGGAAGCGATCACCTGCAGTGTGATTAACACAGACACTTAAGCTCACACAGAAAAGCAAACACAGATCAGGGAAAAAATATCTTATTTTTAAGATGGCACACTCACTGTCATCAGTAATAATTCTGATCATGTAATTCTCAGTTCCTGCAGATTGGGCCAGCCTCTGGTTTGCACAATAAATAAATAGAACTCTCTATCATCCCTCTCTTTGGATTTTTATTTGAAGATTTATGATTTATCAAGCTCAGGTAGCCAGGTAGCCTTCCCATGGTTCTTGAAGTATCTGGCACACTGGGCAGGCCATTTTTGGAAAAAATACGAATTATTAGAGATGGGCTCACCTTTTACAAGAAGCTATTTAATAGCCTACAAGTCAGATGCTGACTTCTTACCTAGAATTGAATCTGATTTCTCTCATTTTATCAATTAAATTTGTTCCATTTTTAAAAAATTTTAAATTGCTCCTCTAGTCATTTGAAGCCAACTTTGACCGCTTTGAAGGAAGGGAGGAAGGAACGGAGAGAGAGAGGGAGGAAGGGAGAGTGGCAGGCCTAATTAATTAATTAGCCAATAACCTAAATACTGTATCAATTGTTTTTATTTAAATTTGACAAGTCACTTTTAGAAATAGAAAGTTTCAAAAGTCTTGTGAATAATGATGTCATTTCAATAAGTAGAAGAACACTCAAAAGATGGAAGATATTTAGTTCATTTTAGACAAGCAAACATCTACTGTGTGTCTACTACTTGTATCTCGTATCGGGCTACATCATAGGGACACAAGTGTAAATAAGACAAGGACTGCTCCCAGAATGCTCACATATTGGAATAAACGCCTACACTTTTTGTAGAAGCTGAAACAGAAAAATACTCATGAACTAGGAGACCAGGTATACATCCAAATCTATCTTCAAGGAAAAATGAAAAGAACTTGAGAAAGTTTGACACTTGTAAGAGGCTTCTTCTGTAGACTAAATTGGTTAGAAGCACCAGGATTAATTTTTTAACTCAGGAAATAGACATTTTTGTAAATAGTATTTTAATGTGAAAATGTATTAAATACATGTGATTAAAATATTTTATGGATAAATTGTATGCCTTCTGCATAACGCAGAAGAACCACAATGTACCTTTTATGTATAGGACGCTTTGTGATTTAGCTTGTGTGAGAGGGAAATATTATCATTAAAAAAACAAAATAAGGGCTTAGCGGTTAAGTGCCCACGCTCCGCTACTGGCGGCCCTGGGTTCGGATCCCGGGCGCGCACAGACGCACCGCTTGTCCGGCCACGCTGAGGCCGCGTCCCATATACAGCAACTAGAAGGATGTGCAACTATGACATACCACTATCTACTGGGGCTTTGGGGGAGAAAAAGAAGGAGGAGGATTGGCAATAGATGTTAGCTCAGAGCCGGTCTTCCTCAGCAAAAAGAGGAGGATTAGCACGGACGTTAGCTCAGCGCTGATCTTCCTCACAAAAAAAAGAAAAAAAACTTGTAAAAAAAACCACAAAATAATGTCAAATGCTTCCTGTTCTGATCACATTGGAAGTTGTAGGGGAGAGAAAAAGCAGGCCGAGAAGCAAACTCACACGTGGCCACAAGAGGGCAGCAGGAGAGGGACATGTAAATCCACCACACCAAGCTGAAATCTACCCAAAAGTGAGTCTTCTCTGGCCAGAGAAGAGAAACTTCCAGCTGCCAGAAGGTGGAGTTCCCAGAACTAGAATACCAAGGAAAATGAGGACACTAGCTACGGGTCCACAGATGTTCCTCTTCCTGAAATTCAGCGTACACAAGTCAGTGCAGTGTTCTTCCCCCAGCACACAGAAAGGCTTCAGTTTGTACGAGAAATGTTACCTCCCTGAAGGACAGTGTCATGGTATGGTCCAAATTAGGGACACTGGGCCAATATCAGGCCCCTGACTAATATGCTGACAGCAAATTACATTTGAGCAAGGATTTGAACGCAACATCAAAACGTCTCCTTCATCTCCTGGGTTTGTGAGTGGCGTGGGGCAGGAGCTGGAGTGGGGGGAAATATGCATATTTTAGTGAGACTTGGAAGTATTCAAGAGGAGAGATTAAATGAAGATTCTCTGGCAACAACTGCTCACCAAAGCCAATGGGAAAACCTCTCCATTATTAGTTTTCAGGAGAAAACACGGAGTTCTGGGAAAAGGGAAACTAGGATGCCTTTAGTCCAAAATACTCACCCATTCCTGTCACAGGGCACGACTCCCCAGAGATCCAAGCCATCCCGTGTTAAGGTGCCTGTCTAAACAGAAACGAGCACTCGGTTGACCCTGAAGATCCAGCGGCCCCATAGTGATGAGCAATATGGTAAATATGTGTCACAAACATATTATCAAGATCAGCATTTCAAGGAAGGACACAATATGGCAGGTGTCTGGAGTCCTGGGAAGAAACTCTGATGAGTGAATACCAGCTGTGTGACAAACTGGCACTTAATCCCTTTGAACTTCAGTGTTCTGAGTGATGGAGGGAAGAAAACAGTATCTGCCTGACATATTTCAGAGGCTTTTTTTGAGGATCTAATGGTAGACTGAACGGATAGGAAAGTCCTTGGGAAGCCTGTAGGAGCTATAAAATGGGTGAGTCCCAGTTTTTATAGTAGAAGTTTAAAGTACGTCATCAGAAATAAGTAACGGGAGTAGAATTTTTTACTATTCTAAAGAAATGGTTTTCTATCTGACACCTATTTGGTAAAAAAGTGCTTATTGGAATTTCTTTCAGTGCAGTATAATGACGAAGAGCTTGGACTGGGTTAAAACACCAGCTGAGTGACCTGGCAAATTATTTAATCCCTCTGAATAACAGAGTCCTTATCTGTAACATGGTCATAATCGTATAGGGTTGTTTTGAAGATTAAATGAGGGAATACAAATAAAGTGCTTACTTTAATGTCTGGCATAGAGTAAGAGCTGATAATAATGATAATTCTCATAGTTATTACTTATTTTTATTCAAATTTATGTCACAGATATCTCTCTCAGCCCTGTTTCTTTTTCCAAGTCCAAGATGAGATGATAATAAGTGGGGTTTCTTTGCTTATGATGCCAGTTTGATCAAAAAATAATATTGAAATGGTGGCAAGAACCATGTTAACTTTCTGATCTTGGTAGATCTCTCTGATATTGCAGTAATTATAAAATACGGCTCTGATCCTATTAATTCTTTGCTATCAAAACCTTCAATGTACAGTTGAATGGGTACAGAGTTTCAGTTTGGGAAGATGGAAAAAGTTCTGGAGATGGATGGTGGTGATGGTTGCACAACAATGTGAATGCACTTAAAGCCACTTAAAAATAGTTAAAATGGTAAATTTTATGTTATGTATATTTTACCACAATAAAAAAATAAATTAAGAAAAAGGAAGGCAACAATAAAAATTAAAAAAAAAACAACCTTCAATAGCTCCCCACTGCCTAAAGAGTATGTAAAAATTTCTTAGCCAGACGTCAAGGTCTGCAAACACCCTCTCCCATTACTAATGTCCTGCTCTGGTCAAAACCACACACTATTGCTCTCCTGACTCCATGATTTTGCCCATATTCACCTGCCTACCATGCCCTTGCATTGTATATATTTTTGAATTTTCTGTATATTATAATGTTTTGACATCTTAAAAAAACCTCTCCAGAACGAGAGACTGCCTCTTCAAGACTCAGCCAGTAGAATGTCTCTGATACACAAACTAACCAGTTGAGAGCCATACCTCCTCTATCTGGCCATACTCCCCAGGAGACAGTATTCCTCTGCCTTAAACATCTTAGGGCCAGGTATCAGACGACTAGAGACCACCTCTATAGCTCAAAGCTCACTGAAATCACTCAAACTAGCCAATTATCAGCTCTTCGTCCTTCCCTGCCTTCCTTTTCTTGCAGAAACCCCAATAAAGGCCATGGCCTAAGCACTCCCCTGGCTCTTGCTTTGCTTCCTGATCAAAACTTGACGTTCCCCCTGTGGCCCTGCATGGTGAGCCATGCCTCTTCTTTCTAGGGGAATTGTGGGTAACTAAACTTTTCTTTCAATGGCATTGATCTCCCCCTGTGGTCATTCACTCACTTTTATAAATTAAGACCCAGGCACAAAAGAGCCCTTCATTTCCATCATATCCTCATACAGCTCTCATCTTCACCCCCAGCATTGTGCAGACTGAAAGAATACATTCAAGAGAGGGTAGAATAAGAGGCTGGTTGGGAATAACTGGCATAGAATCAAGGATAATTTTAAGCAATATACTGCAGATGGGAAATACAGTAAGGGTTTGACTGGGGCTTTATTGTAACCGAGTCTCATAGTAAGATACAACTAAGTAAACTCTTCCTTTTTTCATTCATTCATTAATTCAATAAATATTTATTGAGCACTGACTATATGTCAGGCAATACTCTTAGCATGTGGGATATAGCAGTATCCCTAAATAAAAAAGTTTAAATTTTGTTGTTTGTATGAGGGTTTTGACTATAGAGGGACAGAATGCTATTTTAATTAATTGTGTTTCATAGAATATTGGAGTTGGAAGGACCCTAAAAGATTCACCTATTCAGTACCTATTCTCCCTTCTCTAAACACTAGAATCTGAGTGCTCAAGAGACGTATCTTTCCTAGATCACAACTCCAACCAGAGATAAAATGAAGTCAGGTACCCACAACCTATGTTTCCTGTCTCACAAGAGTGTCAAGTACCTAAACATGAGAACAATGATGATAGAAATGGGGATGAGAATGAGGATGAAACACACATACCTTGTCAAAGCAGACAAGGTTTAATTGTCCACATACATTGATCCTCTGGGGGCTGATGCAGAAGATGCCTCTCTTCTTCAGCCTCCTCTGGGCATAGATAATGCCTGTGGTCAGAGCAGCTGGTAGGGCAGGGGGAACCGCGATTGTGATAACATCGAGGGCTTTCTTCACCACCTCCTCGGGAGGTTCCTGGAAAATGAAGTCACTCTTTAGCTATTACAGATAAATCGGTCATGAGCAGCTTTGTGCCTGTGAATTTTTTCCTTCTTTTTGTTTACTTCTTTAGGTCAGATTCCTAGCAATGATCTCAATGGGTCAAAGGGTATGAACATGTTTATGGCTCTTAACATATTTTGCCAAAGTGCAATGAAAAGTCTTGTAACGATTCACACAGCTACCAGCAGAGCACAATGTACCACTTTGCCATGACCTCACCAACACTGGGTATCTAGTTTTATTTAAAACTCCTCATTTAACAGCTACAAAATACTACATGATTGGAATAAATACATTCTCAGATTGAAAATGAAAAAATAGTATAAGGAAAAGTGTGCAAGAGTGGAGGCATGTTGATATCTCAACAAAATGTTTTATCACACTTGATCTGATTGTTATTACAGAACTTGGTGATCAGTTGCTTATATTGGGGAGCTGGGAGTATATAAGCAAGTTTTAGTGTTTGGCTTTGTTTTCCAGGTTTGTAAACCATGCCTTAGACTAAGGTCAACATGTAGAGTATAAAATATACATAGATAAGTGTATGTGTGCATGTAATAAAAGAACAAATGCAGCTTACCCCGCTGAGCACATAGACACACAAAGTATAGATCATTCCAATGGTGGCTGTGCCTACGAGGCACAGGAGGAACCTGATGGCATCCCTGTAGAGCTTAAAATTCATCGGCTTAGGGTAGAGAATGGATCTCACGAGGTCCCCCTTTGCAGTGCTGAATCCTGAAGTGGCAAACACACACCCCGCACTCTCAGGATGACAAATCCTACAGCCAGCATTCTTCTAAGTCTCAATATTGCCTGTGTTTTCTCTAGAGATATGTAAACAGTCTTTAAGCCCAAACACAATTAAAGAATAACTGGGAAAATACCTAAGAGCTAGAATGGAAATATCTTGTATTTCAGAGCCTATCGCTCTCTGGCTTTCCTTCCCTTTACTTCCGATTCCAGTGCATCCCAGAGACAGGAAAGCACCATGCTGGAGGTAGAGCACAGCTTTTCCAAATATAGCTTCATTTTAAGGAAATGACTCGTGAATGTGCACACACAACGCGCGGGCACACACACACACACACAAGTCACTTGAATTTAAATTTAAATAGCCCAGTAAGTACTGATGGATTCAATTTCTAATACTGTAGAGTGTCAAGTTCTCAGTATCTAGTCCTGCCTAGAAAGGACTTGGGATTTGGGGACAGAAGACCTGAGTTCTAGGTCCAGCTCTATCAGTTACTGGCTGTGTGATTTTTTTAAAGTTCACTTGAATTGTTTGGGCCCCAGCCTATTCATACACAAAGTGGGGACAGTAGGCATCTTTGTTCTGCTGGTTTGATATGTGCAAATAGTTTACAAACTACAAAGCACATAAATGGTAATTATTGTCATCAGTGTTATTCTTACTAAAAGGCATATGCCATAGTTCAATTCACATTTAAAATACTAAATTTAATACATTTGGTTTGTTGTGTGAAGACTGCTTCTTACCTAATAAATTTAAGGCACTAGACAAACTGAGTGAAGCTATTTCATTAAAATAACAAAACAAAGGAGGACATGCTAACTAACCAGTCTGCAGTACCACCGCTCTCACGGTCCCGGAGCAAGCGCCTTTGGCCTGGATAACCTCTGTGCCGCAGAAGAGGACATGCCGTTTGTAATCCGCTTCACTCTGTGTTTTCCAGGGCACAGAGCCATCCATCTTGGGTAACGGAGTTTTAGTGACTGGAATACTTTCTCCTGCAGAAAACAAGCATCTCATTTTGTGAGGCGGGATGACTTCGCTCATTTAAATCACGCACACACTCACTTATCATATGGCAGGCATTTGTTGTAAGCCTGCCATGCAGCAGAGACAACCCTGGGTATTGGGGATACAAGGAGAAACATAGTTCTTGTTTTTAAGAGGTTTGTAGTCCGGAGTGGGAGACAGACACGTAAACAAATAAGTATAATATCATATTATAAATGTTGTGAGTATTGTAAAATCAAACATGGATGCTAAAATAGGCTGGAAATAACCACTTAGAGAAGATCAAGTTGTACAGTCTGGAATGTGGGGTGTGGGGAATAAGGGGCCGTGAGAGCTATGTAGGAGCCAAAGCATGGAGGGCCCTAATGCACATTTTTAAGTGTGTAACTGTTTTTCTACAGGCACTGGTGGCAAAAGGGGGATAGGAAGATATTTAACTGTTTTATTCAGGATAGTAAATCATATTTATATAAGTGAGACTATACTCTGCCTGCAACACAGGGCTTGAATTGCAGTCTGGTGAGGTTGGAGGCTGGACGTCCAGGTGGGAAATGCTCACAAGAGCCCTAGTTGGAGAAGATGAGGTCTGAACTATGGCAACAGGCAGTGGGAGTAGAAAGTGCTGAGTGTGAGAAATAAAGAAGTAAGAAGTCACAAGACTTAGGGAAATCTTTACATTGGCAAGTCACAGGAACAGAGGAATTTAAACTGGCTTCCTGGTTTCTGACTTGGGAGAATGAGCAGAGGGTGGCATTAGTTATTAACATAGAGACTATAGGAAGAAGGAAGAATTGCCTTTTGGTCACTGTGAGTTGGAGATGCCTTGTGGAATGACCATGTTGAGATGCCTTATAGGCAGGTAGATATTTGTTTGAGTCTGGAGCTCAGGGGAGGGTCTTTGACCAGAGATATTTGGTTAGAGTTCATCAGCTTATAGATGATAATTAAGGCCATGAGAAGAAACAAGATTATTTAGGGACCGAGTATAGGGTGAGAAGAGGAGAGGACCAGGACACCTGAGCAGCACCAACAATCAGGGAGATGGAGGAGGAGGAGCCACACAGGAAGCTGAATGGTGTGGTTGGTGGTAGAAGAACTTGGAGAGATGATGCCGTCTTGGAAAGGTAGGGAGAAGAGAATTTTCAGAAGGAAGAGATAGTCAGAATAGTCAAGAGCAGCAGAAAGGTCAATGAGAAGAGAAATTTAAAGAATCCTTTGGATTTGGCAACTGGGACATGGGTCACTGTTGCCAGTGCGGGGGGGAGAGGCAGATTGCAGCGGGTTGAAGCGCTAATACAGGTGGTGAATGAAGTTGTGAGAGTAACTATGGCCTGTTCTGAGAAACAAAGCTTGTAAGACCTTCCACTGGTCTTTGCAGACTGGGCGGCATAGAGTCAGAGATATGTTCCGATATATTAGGGCCACTTTGTTTAGGAAAATGGTACTTGCCATTGCAAAAGTCCCAGGGCTGAAGGATTTTTACTAATCTCTGGATTCCGTAGAGAAGGAAACCTGACTGCCATGCATTTTTAATTTCTTTTGGTAAAGTTACATACAAAGGAAATGTGTGTTCTTGTCTCTATTTCACGCCTTTCTGGTCTGCCCAGGAGAAATGGATTTGATTTGGAATTTAAGGGGAACCACAGTACATCACTGTGTACTTGCAGCCTCCCATTTCATCTCTGAGAAAGACTTTATGATTCTTCTTTATCTTACAGAGATCTTGGCACAACATCTCCTCATAAATGCATATGCAAATAAGAACTCAAAGCACTGTGACCTTGACCAAGTCACTTGTCTCTGGACCTCAGTTTCCATATCTATGAGACGCAATGACCTCTAAGGTCACTCCCAGCTCCAGCATGCTCTTTAAAAATGAAATAGTTAGTCCCAAATACCCAGTGTGTATTTTGAAAGTGGCAGATTTGCCAAATCCTGCGTCATGAACTTTTCAACATTTTCAAGCCAAGCTAGAAGAGCTTGGACTTGGCTTTGTGTGTTTCAGGATGTCATTAATGATTTTCAAACCCTCCAAGTTTACCTGAAGATATATTTTATATACAAATACTAAACATAAAAATCACAGATGCTTCTGAAACATCTAATGATCTCTACAATCTTTTAAGATAAAATGGCAGGGTTGTAATAACTCTTTGTTCAGGGAAGAAATGCTAAACACTCTAAAAGTTACAACTGTAACAAATTTAGCATATGGAAAGCAACTTTAATTTGAACTCTCAGAACCATCCAGAGCAGGATGTTAAGTAAGATTTGTGGGAATAGGAATGTCCCACAGCAGCTTCATGCGTTGCCCTTGTCATTCAGGTAGAGGAGGAGCCTGGGAGAGCCGGCAGTCTGTAAGCCGTGAGCTAGAACCCTACCTGTCAGCATGCCTTCATCTACCACACAGCTGCCATCAATCAGAATGGCATCACATGGCATTTGCACTTTGTTCCCTGGCAAAATTAATAGATCTCCGGGTACCAGGAAGCGTGATTCCAGCTCTTGGACTCCAGCTGAAAGTGTGAGAAGAGAGAATCAAGTCAGGTTTTTTTCCCACAAAAACACCATCCAACATCTACCAAATTGGAAATCAATGAAAAAGCAACCAAGGTACTTTAAAAAAAGGAGGGCATGGGGCGGGCCCGGTGGCGCAAGCAGTTAAGTGCGCGCGCTCCACTGCGGTGGCCCGGGGTTCGCCGGTTTGGACCCCAGGCGCGCACGGACGCATCGCTTGTCAGGCCATGCTGTGGCGGCGTCCCGTATAAAGTGGAGGAAGATGGGCATGGATGTTAGCCCAGGGCCAGTCTTCCTCAGCAAAAAGAGGAGGATTGGCAGATGTTAGCTCAGGGCCGATCTTCCTCAAAGAAAAAAAAAGGAGGCCATTCCTCAACATTGATTCAAAATCTGGAAACAATAAGAAAAATGTAATAAATTCAATTATATAAATTAAAAACCTTTGTGTGGCAAAAAGTAAATAAGCAAAGAAAAAACTAATGACAAATTCAGAAAACATGTTTGAAACTCACATTATAGACAAAAAATTAATGTTCCTAATACATAAAGAGTTCCTAAAAAAGAGATGTATATCAAAAGATTGTATAGCAAAATTGCTAGAGATGTTAACCGATAGTTCACACACGCACACACAAAATGTAAGTGGCATGTTAAACATTTGAAAAGATGCTCATTCTTACTCATAACAAGAAAAATGAAAATTCCTTCCTTCCTGCCTTCCTCTACTCCTTTCCTACCTTATTCAATCCCAAAGCTATAAGGGGTTAAGTGAGATAGGCATTATTTTAATAATGCCTAATATTAAATAAGGCCAATATTTTACTAATAAAATAACCATTAATTGCGTGGGGTGGGGATGAGGGTGGCAGCCTGCTGTGGGTGTTAGAGACTAAGAAGGTTGGACAGATGTTTACACAGCCTGGTGCAGGGTGTCACAGGCCAAGGAGAGAGAGAAGCGTCCCCATGGTGGCAATGGCCTGGTGTGGGATGTTGGAGTTCAAGCAGGGTGAAAGAGGTGTCTACGTGGGAATGGGGGGGGGGGATGGTGGGGGTATCAGCAGTGAGGGATAATGGATGACATCCAAGAGGGATTGATACAGTAAGTAGATATAATGAGGCTAATGACAGCCAGGTTTCTCCCTAAGAAAGGAAGTTACAAATAAAGTCAGAAATATAACCAGGATAAACTCTGTGGTATTGGGTTAGAATTGGAGACAGCAGTGTAACCTGATGATTTTCAATAGATAGATAAAGAAATAAAGTAGATGTAAATATGTATGTATATAAGAATATATACATATATATGTTTGCTTGTCTGTTTTTATATGTATGTTCTCTAATTCTGTTCTCTGAGAGGGCTTGGGAGCAGTGAAAACCCAATAATTATGTGCACATCCAGTGCCCAAATTCTGGTTTCTAAATTCCATTGCCCTCAAAAAAAGAATCAGAGTTCTATAGAGAAATGGCTGATTACAAGGCTGGGCCAAGAAAAGCATAACATAAGTTAGAACATCTTTTTGTGCCATTAAAGAAGTGCTCAAAGAATGATGGGGGCATATCAAAAAGATACTAAAGCCAACTTAAAGGGCTCTCACTGACTAAATCTGTACCAATTTGAGCATCAGAGTAATTAATGATAATAATGAACTGTAACCCATTAAATAAAATAGGAATTCATGAGTCCATAATGACATAAGTAAATGAATAAATAAATGAGGAAAAAATAGCTTTTTCTTACAGTGAAGTGGCAATTAGTTAATGTAGAAGGAAAGATAAAACTAGAAAATCACCATCTGGCAACTCTCAAAACAATAATTAATCTAGCCAAGAAATGTTGATGGATACTAACACTAGTGGGTGAAAATTTGATGAGGATGGTTTATCTATATAGTCTCAAAGTATCTCTCAATAAAATAACTATTAATTGCAAAGAGGAAAAAAGTAAATTTACAATGGAGAAACCTGGCAGACACCATTTAATTAAGTAATCCGAGTTGACATCACCAGTAATAGGACAAATTTAAATTATGTACCACCAGAGAGGAAGCAGTGAGAACACAGCGTTACTTCTGTGATTTTCCAGCCAAAAATGCATAACCTGAATTTAACTATGAGGGAATATCAGATAAATCCAAATTGAGGGACACTCCCAAAATAACCCAAGTTGAAAGAGTCAAGGTCATGAAAGTCAAGGAAAGATTGAAGAAGATTAAAGAGTCGTGGCAAACAACAGTATTGTGTGATCCTGGATCCTTTCCTGTAAAGAACATTATTGAGACAATTGGAGAAATTCGAATGGTCTGAGTGAGCGTTGGTATTAATATATCAATATTTACTTCCTGATATTAAGGTTTACACTCTCATTTATGTAGAAGAATGCTCTTGTCTTTAAGAAATATACACTACAGTATGTGGGGGGCATGGAGCTACATGTTAGCAACTTATTCTAAATGGTTCAGGAAGAAAATTATTTGATCTATTCTTGCAACTTTTCTGTAAGTTTTAAATTATCCCCTTCCCCCCCCAAAAAAAAAGAAAAGAAAGAAAGAGAAATATATGTGAGATAACACTGCTCACCTATCTGGTTAGAAAAATATAAAAGTTTGCCAGCATATTCTGTTGGCAAGACTGTGAGGGAACAGTCACCTTCATACATTTCTGGTGCAAATGCAAACTGGTACAATGTCTATGGAAAGAAATTTGGCAATATCTAGCTATCAAAAGTACATATGCATTTATTCTTTAACTCAGAAATTTTACTTCTCAAAATCTATACCGAAGGTAGACTGGTAAAAATATGAAAAGACATATGCACAAGGCTTTTTATTACAGCACTATTTGTAATAGTAAAAGACTGAAAAAAAAATCCTTCATTAGAGAACTGTTTGAATAAACCGTGGTTCTGCTACACAAGGGAGTACTATGCAGCTGAAATAATGAATGAAGAGTATCTATATACACTGCTATGAAAAGTTCTTAATTATGGGAAACATAATTAAGTATGTAAAGCACATATACCAGGAAATATAAGTTAAATGCATATGGGATACCCTTGTTATCTGAAAAAACAACAGTATAAATATGTATCCTATTATGTATATATATGTATACAATGTATATATATGTGTGTGTGTGCGCGTGCGCACGTGTGTATACATATGTGTCTATAAAGAAGAACTCTAAAAAAATCTTACATTGTTTCTAGGAATCATATTGTTGCTGGGTATGTTGCTTTGTTATTCTGAGACTATGGTATATAATGGGATAAAGCAAATGAATAATTTGTTGCTGTCATTGAGAATCAGGGTTTTTGGTATGGAGAAAGGAGAGATAGAAGTACAATCAATGAAGTTAAGTGAAAAGCCCATAGTTCTAAACTTGAATTGGAAATGTCAGTATGAACTCATAATGTATGTTATCTTTAAAATATTATTTCCCAGGTATGTCTTAGGTAAAAGCCTTGAAACAATGACTAATACCATAGAAATGAGCACTCCTAACACTCTGATTGAGGCCTCTAGTACCATATCTCACAGCTCATTGGAAAAATGGATGTGTCCAGGTTTGGAGCAAGAATTGTCCAAGATGAGTTCAGAATATCTTGTCACACCAGAAAGCAATAAAATTTTCAGACTACAGGGGTCACATCAAAAGAACTCAGGAGCCTACCTGAAAAAGCTCTGAATGGCCAAAGATGGGACAATTTGAACAACAATAAGAATAAAAACTGCAATGGATGGAAATATACCAACCATGTTAACAATATACATCCATAATGACCCTTAAAAAAAAAGCCTTTGGAAAATGCTAGTGGATCAAACCATTGTTTCAAAAGCTGGTAAATAACGAGAAATAGATATTTATCCTATTTTTCTTAAACAAACTGAATCTCATGGTAGTGAAATAGTTGAGGAGAGGTGTTTCTCTTTACAGAAATAGTCCACTTAATCTATGAAGATGCCATGATAGAAGTAGAAATTTGAAACTCTTACAGAAATAATAAATCTAGCTCATGAGCATTTATGTCTGCAAATATCACAAAAAGAAGACAATTAGATATTATGTACCTCCCATTAGAAGTACACTATACCAACTATGAAGTTTTCTTGCCCAAAACTCAAGCCTCAGATCTAACTACCAATTTACAGGAAGTACAAGGAACAGAAAAATCACGTTAACTAACTCCATGAGTATACAATCAATATAATCTAAGCTGTGGGAACCACAGGATGAACCACTTACTTTCTTCAACAAAAAATCTGCAAGGAAAAAAATAAGATATGGAAGAGGGAATGTGTGCATTAAAATAAAAGACCTGCAGAGGCTCCTCACCCTTTAGTATTCAGCAGACTAGTAATAAACACATGCATATGAGCGAACTACTAGCAAATGAACAACTGGCCATTTACATTTTAAAATATCATTTACAATAGCATCAAAATATGAAATATTTAGGAATAAATCTAAGAAAGAATGTGAAAGAATGTGAAACCTACAAAACATTGCTGAGAGAAATCAAAGGTGTAAATAAATGGAGAGATAAACCATGTTTATAAATCATAAGACCCAAATTTGTTAATATGTCAGTTTTCCACAAATTGATCTATAGATTCAACATAATCCCAATCAAAATCCCAGCCTGTTTTTTGGTAGAAATTGACAGCTTGATCTAAAAGTCATATGGAAATTTGAAAGACCCAATATTGCTGAAACAACTCTACAAAAGAAGAACAAAGCTGGAGAACTAACATTATTCTATTTCAAGACTTATTATAAAGCCACGCTGTGTGGCATTGGTATAAAGAGAGGCAAATAGATCAGTAGGATAGAATAGGGAGTCCAGAAATAGATTCACGTATACACAACTGATTTTTGACAAAGGTGCAAAGACAATTCAGTGGAGAAAGGAAAGTCTTTTCAACAAATGGTATTGAAATATTTGGATATCTGTTTGCAAAAAATGAACTTCAATTCGGAAAAAAACCCTCAAAATACGATATAGACCTATATGTAAAAGCTAAAAGTATAAAACGTAGAAAATCTTGATGACCTTGGATTAGGCAAAGATGTCTTAGACATAACACAAAAGCATGATCCCCAAAAGAAAAAATTGATAAACTGGACTTGAACAAAAGTAAAAACATTTGCCCTTTGAAAGACCCTGTGAAGAGAATGAAAAGTTATAGATCGAGCGAAAATATTTGCAAATCATTTCTGATAAAGGACTTATATCCAGAATATAGAAATAACTGTCAAAATTTAATAAGAAAATCTAATAACAAAAGATTTGAACAGACACTTCACCAAAGAAGATATACAAGTATCAAATAAGCACTTGAAAAGATGTTCAATGTCATTAGTCATTAGGGCAATGCAAATTAAAACAACGAGGTATTACCACATACCTATTAAAATGGCTAAAATTAAAAAGACTGACCATACCAAATATTGGCAAGAATGTGGAGCAAGTGGAAACCTCATACACTGCTGGTGGAAATGTATAATGGTATAACCACTTTGGAAAACAGTTTCACAGTTTCTTTAAAAATTAAGCATTTATCCAACATATGGTTCAGCCATTCCACAGTTAGGTATTTTCCCACAAGAAATAAAAGTGTATGTCCATACAAATACTTGAACCCAAATGTTCATAGTGGCATGATTTGTAATAGCCAAAAACTGGAATTAACCCAGATTTCCATCAACAAGGGAATGGATGAACAAACTGGTCTATCCATGCATTGGGAGTTTACTTAGGAATAAAAAGGAATGAACTATTTTTATACTTAACACAATGGCCTGATTTCAAAATGCTTATGAACTTTGATCCCAACAAAATTAACCCAAAATATATTACAAAAGACAAAAAATGCATACTGTACATACCATTTATATAAAATTCTAAACATGCAGTGGTTGCCTGAGGATGGGGATGGGCAGAGAGTAGTTTAGAGGGAAGATTACAAACAGGGAGAAGGCAACTTTTTGGGGTGATGGATAGTCATTATCTTTATCATGGTGGTAGTTTCATGCATGTGTACATATGTTAAAGCCTATCAAATTGTACACTTTAAATATTTTCAGTTTGTTGTATGTCAATTTCATGTCATTATAGTTGTTTTTTCTTAAAGATGAAAAGATCTCAGGTTCCTCATCCCTTTAAGTAAATGCACAGAAAAAGGTTCATATGAAGATTAGAGTAGTAGGAACAATCAGAAAAACAAATTTAAATCCTTTTCTGATGCTATATGGACAGTACATAGATCTAAAATAATGGGACTTACCTTTTCTCCCACATACTGAGACTGTAATGCTATTATGTGACTCAACTAGACGGTGGAGCTTTACAGATTGCTGAAAAAGAAGGAAAAATAAGAAACAGCTTTTCTATGGAGGATAGGTCCCAGGTATTATTCAGTAAAGTCCTAGCCTTGTTTAAAGATGGAGCACTGTCTTGTTGCTAACAAAATATACTGTCTAAAAACAAGACTGAGTAGCCTATTACTCAACTGAAAAAGCATCCAATTTGTTGTGCTCTTCACCCAGCAATAAGAAGTATGTGTTCTTTAGTAGAAAGGAATTTCCCAGCATGCTCTGTCCACTCAAAAGAGTTTTTGATAACCATAAATTTATGTTTTAGTTCTTTAAGTAGATAGATGACGTTAACAATTTTGATCATTCAAGATATGTATTTATACCTAAATAGCTTTAAGTAGTAAGCATTATTTCAGCTTTGGGATATCCCACATCAGAATTTCTAATCTATAACTTTATAAGGAGTTGATGATTCCTGCAATTTCCTCATAGTATATATTGTTCTAATATACAAAATACAAGAGACACTGAGAATGAATCAATAAGAGAAAAAAATATATAATAAAATTATATTTGACTTCACATTTATTAAGAGACTATTGTGTGAAAGACCTTCTGCTTGGTTCTGGATGTTAAAAGTCCCAATCATTTAGTGTGTTCATTTTTTTATTCTGATTTTGTCATTTAAGACACTCCCTAAATCTCCTAGCTTCAAATAATTTACAAATCTGATTAATATGTCCTAAGAATGATTAACAATAATATAAGGTGAAAGGCAGAGTATTCTGCTATTAACTTATTCTTTTACTCATTTATGCATTCACTCAACATTTACTGAACAACCTTTATGTGCCAAGAACTATATTAAGAGGTGGAGATAGAATGGTCAACAAAACAGATAAAATTCTTATCATCTACAGCTTACTAGGAGAAATACATTTAATCAAATAATCACACACATTAGTGTACCATTACAATCAGTAATAATAAGAAAAAAAATAAGGTGTTTTTGAAGCATATATAGACAATGGAACCAATAGAAATCTTCTCTGAAGAAGTGACATTGAATCAAATAGGTTGTTGAATCTAGGAATCTCAAACTCAAAAGCGATATTTGGACTTAAGATATATACAAATTTGAAAGTTACTAGCGTATACCTTTAGAAGTCATTGGCATATACAGCTATGAGAATAATGAAGAATCTCTGAATGTACTCACATGAAGAGACCACCAAGACAGATTATTAATAATAACGTGTAGGTAGGAAATAATGTAATTATGCTACCTCTTACATAAGAAAGAAAGAAAAACAAAATATATGTATTTGTCTTTGCTTGATTCACCTAGAAAATTCTTTTGGAAGAATGCACAAGAAACTACTGAAAGTGGTGGCATGAGCGGAGGGGCAGAGGAAGATGGAGCCTTTATGTTGCACACATTTTCATGTTGCTTTGATTTGAGACACCCATTTTAAAAAAAAAGGGGCCAAGTAGAGGAGGATGAACTCCTCCTCTAGAGAATGGAAAAGAACAACTAGAGAGGATTTGTCAGATAGAATGCCTCAGACAGAAGCAATGGAGCGGTTCACAGTATCCAATGCAGCTGAGAGGTTTAATGAAATCTGTGCTGCGAAAGAAGTGTCCGCTGTAGGAGGGGGACCATCAAGTCAGCAAGCAAAAGACCAAAAACCCAATAAAAATTAATGAAGGACACGAATACTGTTCACAGTAAAAGAAAAGTAATAGCAAGTGCTCAACTCATAATGGAAAACATGCCATTCAAGTTACGGGATTCTATTTTCACTTATTTTGACAAAGATAAGGAAAACAAGTGCTCATCTGCTGTTGGGAGGATGTATATTGCTATTACTTATTTAATAGGCATTTTGACAACAACTGTTAAAATATTATACCTAGCTTATGATTAAGTAGTTTCAAGTATAGAAAATTTCTATCTCCTTATCAATAAGGATACATATATACATGTTAGATACATATTTATATGTAATATAAATTATATATACTTGTGATATGTATATATATTTCTAAACATACATATATGTGGATGTGTGAAAAGATATATGTGCAAGAATCCTCATTGCAGCATTGTTTTAATAGCAAAAGACTAGAAACAACCTAAGTATCCATCAATATAAGATTTGTTTAAATATTATGGTACATCTAGAGAAAATATATTTGTGCAGATATGGAAAGATATTTAAGACACATTAGGTGAAAAATGCAAGTAAATAGCAGCGTTCATAGCCTACTTCCATTTGTGTAAAACAGATTAGTGCACATGTGTTTAATATTGCTGAAAATATATAGAACACCTGCTTCCAGTGGATGCCTCTTGAAAGGGGACCCAGACACTGGGAGAACTAAGGTAGAAGGGACTTGTACTTGTCATTTACACTGTTTTGTTCTAATTGAACTTTTTTTTATCAGGTCCATATATTAATCTTATGAAGAAAAAAACTAGTTAGTTAAAAAAGGAATTTTTAAAAAATTTTAAAACTATGTATGAGCCTTCGGATTATAGTGGTGACCTTAACAAGACTTGCTTAAATGGAGTCATGAGAGAGGAAGCCAGGTCACTACAGGTGAGAAGTGAGAGGGAGATGGGTAAATGAAGATAGAGTGCATAGAACTCAAGAACTTTTGCTATAAAAGGGAGACAAGAGGTGCAGTAGTAGCTGAAGGTAGAAGCATGGTCAAGAGAAGGGAGTGTTTTGTTTGTTTCAGTTATTTTAAGTTGGGAGAAACTCAAGCATGTTTAAATGCTGATGGGAAGGCTCTTGGGGAGAGAAGGTGGGAAGGAGTCATTCACTGACTGCATAAGCACCCTGAAAAAATGGGAGAGGATTCTATCGCAAGCATAAGCAGAGGGCACTTCCTCCTCTGTAATGAGAGATCAGAGCAACAGGGAGGTGGAGACGAGAGTCATTTGGCCGTTGGAGAGTGGGGAGTTGAACAAATTCCTGTCTTATGGCTTCTATCTTTGTGAACCAGGTGGTGAGACCATCTGCTAAATTAGAGGAAAAGTGGAATCTGGGCAGTTGGGATCTCAGAAACTTGAAGATAGATTTGGTTTGAAACCTTAATTTCAAAGAATAGGAGAGCACGTTGACCAGAGACCTATAGAAAGCTTGACCAGATGAGGTTGGTGTTCGTGGATTTATAGTGCAATGAACCAATCTGTTCTATGTGATTTTTTCCCAACAGCACCAAATCCTCTGGTGGAGGCATAAAGAAAGTGAAGAGTTGGACTGGGGTTTGACAAATGAGTACCAACCAAACATAAAGGGCAAAGGAATTAATATTATACAGAGACCCTTAACCTTCCATCCTTCTTCCACCATCTTCAACATCCATCGGTATTCTCTATATATATTTTTTCACTTATTCACAATTCGTAAATATTTGCATATTCTTCTTGCTAATCAGCCTGAGTAAGCTAACTTGAAAGGTTAGGGATTGGGATGTGAGGGAAGGGAAAGGATTAACACTGGTTGGGCATCAACTATTGTGCTAGATATTTACAAACTTGGTCTCATTTGTTATGGAGTGGGCAATAACTATTTCCTGACTCTCCTTTCTAACAAATTTCAATAAAGTCACCACTAGTCCCTTTCTGAAACCATAAAATTGGTAGAAAAACTCACCTCTCTGAGATCGTATACTGTCAAAGCAATGGAAATGATGGACATGATTATGATGGCAAAAGCATATTCCTTATAGTCTTCACTAAACCACAAACAGACACTGAAGAGTTGAAATATGTAAAATGGATTTAAAACCTGTTGGCAGACATAACAACGGGAAGACAAGGGAGATATTTAGGCTTCAAACTTAGCTATTTATTGACTTGTTTGTTTTCATAATCGCCTCCATGACATAAATAATCCCACACAATATTCTTATTTTTATTATATTTATTCAGCAGTTGCTGTGTGCCAGACACTGCACTAAGCAACTTTACCTGAATTTGATTCCCATAATTACCTCATTAACCAGAAGTTATTACTTATCTCCATTGTTAAAAATGAAGAAATTGAGCCTTAGATCTTGAGAAACTTACTCAAGTTCACACAGCTCTGTCACAGACCAAGACTTGAACCTAGGCAATCTAGCCTCAGAGCACTTACTTTTAATCACTGCTGCACCTTATAATTTACAAAGTAATGTCTCATATATCCTCGTGTTGACCAGCACAACTGTTGTGTAAGGAGTAGATATTATCATGTCTAGTTTACACTGACTGGCCTTCAGAAGGGTGAAGTATTATTTCAGGTTTACAAAGTTAAAATGCTTTCTAGTCTATTGTTCTCCTCCATGACACAAGTTCTGCCATGTCTGAAGCCATTAAAGTACTTTATATTAATGTATGACTTGAAGACTACTTTTTTTCATAAGTAGAGAGCCAAGCTGAAAGTAGTAAGCTGTAAGTGAGCATCTAGAACACTGTGGGAGAAAGTAGAGATTAACCCCAACAGATGTAATCCTGCTTTGGTTTAAAACATTTTGTGCCTTTACTCAAATTCCCTCTAGTTGATTTCCATCTTTCTAAATCAGGAACAGTAATTTTGCCTCTGGTTAGGGAAGAAGCATACTTTTCCTATCAGTTTCTTTTGCTTCCTCCATGCCTGAAAGCTTGCTAGAAATATTGAGAAAGTACCTTGAGTTCAGTAAGTTTTTTTTGTGTGTGTGAGGAAGATCAGCCTTGAGCTAACATCCATGCCAATCCTCCTCTTCTTGCTGAGGAAGACTGGCCCTGGGCTAACATCTGAGCCCATCTTCCTCCACTTTATGTGGGACGCCACCACAGCATGGCTTGACAAGCGGCGCATGGGTGTGCGCCCGGGATCCGAACCTGCGAACCCTTGGGCCGCCACCGCAGAGCGCATGCACTTAACTGCTGCGTCACGGGGCTGGACCCCAGTAAGCTTTTTTTTAAGGCAAGAAGTGGAGGTGAAGTGCAGGAGAAGACCCTGAGTACAGCTGTATGGTTATAGTTTCGTAATAATCACTGTAAAATGAATAATAAGCCCAGTGATAGAATCAGAGAGGAAAAACTCAACCTAGTAAATGATGGTCAAATCTTTCTTTCCCTCCCACACACACACTGAGATCAATAGAGCTAATAAGGCTGAACAGATGTTTTTTTTCCTACAATTTTGATGCCGAGAAAATTGTATATGTCACCCATAAGAAAAGAATTGAGTTTTTTTTTAATTTTAAGTATTATTTTAGTTTCAAAAAGTTGAGGCAGACTGAGGAGCACAGGATTAAAAAGGAAAGAAAGAAAAGAAGTATTGTGTTTATTCAGTCGTTTAAGGATAAGTAGACACATGAGCATCATAGTCCAAAAGGTAGACTCCAAGGAAAAGAGTAGAAAAGAGATGTGAAGAAAATATGCTTTGCATTCTTTTAAAATATCCCAAATTACAGTTACTTATTAACGAGCAGCATTCTTGATCATTTGACTAGAACCAAACTTACTAATTTTCTATCGAGCACCAAGAGACACTACTGATTACCTCCTTGATGAGCAGTTTCCAAATTGGTGTGATTTCAACGTCAATAGTGTTAGGTCCACATATTAACCTCCTATAGGGAGAGATCACAGATCACTCAGTTACTAACAGTAAAAATGAAACTCATTTCTCACCCATTCAAAAAAAGGTCTGTTCCATGTTCACTTTCTCACTTGTGGGATCAACATAAGCCTCCCTTGTTGCATAACATCCCCATGCTTCTCAAAATAACTGGGGAGTGGGAGGATTCCTTGGTACAAAAACAATAAACACGATCATATTGCATCTATTGAACTAAACCCTTCCTGAGATCTGAATATTTCCCTGATGGTAATTTGGGTATTTAATTTTAGCCATTGTTTCGTTCAACTAGTTTCAGGATTGGCACTCTTTTCACTCTGTCTCTCCCCAGCTCTGGTTCCATGGAACTGGGAGGGAGGGGTCATTAGGAGAGAATAGTTTTACCGATAGGGAATACTGTATCTGCTTTCCTACTCCTATTCAGCTCTGGGAAGCTGCAGAATTTATTTTAATGTGAGTGAAAAGGTGTTGGGCTCTCAAAAATAGCTCCACACAGAGATATACAGCCCTTTAATTGAAAACCCAGAAATGTATTTCTTTGATTATGCAAAGCAATGACCCTTTATGAGTTATTTTGCTATTGAGAACACTAACTACTCTCCCTGTGCCTTCTACATAGATGCTCAGATCGAATAGCTTGGCCAATGTATTAGCACAGTGCTTTTCACTTCAGTGTTCATATAGATGGCTTCGTGATCATGTTAATATGAATACTCTGATTCAATAGGGATGAGGTGTGACCTGAGATTCTGCATTTCTAACAAGCTCACCAGTGATGCTGGGGCTGCAATGCTCTAGGTCTCTTCTAACTATTAGAAATGGGGTGGAAGGGAGTGTGAGAGTCATAGAAACTTAGGATCAGCAAGGCCTTCATAGAGCTCTCCCTTTCAACAATTAGGAAACTAAAGCCCAGAGAGGAGAAACTATTTGCTCAAAGCCACACAGTGAATTAGTGACAGCCTCTTGACACGCAATCCAGTGCCCTTCCTAAACCTTGCTCCTCCGCCCAGCAACTGATTTGGAATTGTGGAGCTACAGGTCTTGCGTGATATTCTCCTGCTGCTCCACAATTATTATTTAACTATCTTATCATAGTGTAATATATATTTCCTGATTACAATCTAAACTGGCTCAACCTTGTTACTATAATAACCTTGAGAAGCATTGTATAGAGTAGAAAGAGCACTAAACCGATAGTCAGAAGCGTGAGACTCAATTCTTCCTGTATTACTTCCCACCTGTGTGACTTGTTCACACCATTAGACCTCTCTGAGCTTCAGATTTCTCATCTGCTATATTGGGATGATGAGGATGTCTGTTCTATCTCCCCCACAAGGTTGCTCTGAAGAAGTGATATAATATATATGAAAGCATTTAATTTAACAGTACTAAATAGAGCATTATAATGTTTTCTGATATTGACCAGTTAAGATAACTATTTACTGGTCTCTCTTGTTTGACTAACTGGTAACGGTCCTTTGGAGCTGGCATAGATAACAATATGCGTGGTACCGAATTTCTTGTTCTTCTTTTGTTAGTCCTGATCCAAATTTTAGATGTATCTTGGCAGAACTGAGCCAGTCTTCCAAAGAGCTAAAATAAGAATAATAATATGAGAGAGATATTTAGCAATGGTATTTTTGAGATAATATTTTTCTTGTTTGGATGCAATTGTTGAAACAACTTACCCAATTTTCTGGAACTGTCCTTCTAAGTTGTTCCAAACATATCTTATCTTTTGCACTTTCATGCATCTCACCTGCAAAAGAAAAGTACTAAGTCTCTTGTTTGAGGATCAGCGAATACATAGCAGTTTAGTGGCTAAAAAAGCATTTATGGAAGAAGCAAAGATAGAGCCCTAGTATACTTATTTAAGATTTTACCCTTTCCTAACTCATTCTATCCTTTCTTACTACACAAGTGGCATTCTTTATTAGAAGTCACCATTCAATCTATGTGTATCGTGGGCCTACTATATGAATAAGCATATGTATAAAACTCAGTCTCTTCATTCTACTGCTTTATAATCTGACCAGGGGGAAAAAATATATTACAAAAAAGAAAACTATACCATACAGTCAAATATGTACATGTCAAAGAAGTAAAAATATAATAAAGTAAAAATTATAGTATTGAAATGCTGTAGAACTATACAGAGGGCAGATAACAGGGACATCATGGAGGAGATAACATCTGAGCTGCAGCCTTGAAAGACTGGAAGAATTTTGCTCAGGTGAGAAGGGAAGAGGGCATTTCAAAGAGATTATGTGCTAGTTAGTTGTGGGGGAGGGCCAAGTGAGTTAGCCTATTTGACTGCAGAATAGAAAATGAGGCTGGGAAGATAAATAAAGATCAGATTATACAGCCTTAAATGAGGTATTTAGGACTTTATCTTGTAGGCAATGGACTTGCAGGGTAACCTGTAGAAGAAACACAGAAAAAGATGAGGCTGGCAGCAGGTTCTAGAAGAGATTAAGGATGTTATCGAGAGAAAATGGGCTCCAGAAAGTGAGAGTCTGAGGGTGTTGGCAGTGGAAAGAAAAGGAGAGGTTAATGCTTATGGCAATTATGCCTTCTTGTTTCTGGTTTCTTTAAGCATCTTTATATATAAATCTGAATTTCCATTGAGTGGTGACCTAATTAAGCACAAAGAAAACCAGTGAGACTGTCATGTTGTTATGAAGCAATGGTATAACCTCATTTTGCCCATTAGAATCAACTGGGGAACTTTAAAAAATATTGACGCCGGAGTCCCACCCCCAAGAGATTCTAATTTCATTTGTCTGGGGTACAGCCTGGGCACACATATTTTTAAATTTCCTCAGATAATTCTAATGTGCAGTCATAGTTGAGAAACAGTATTCAAGACATCCTTTTATAGCTACTCTGATAATTGTGTCCTTAAGAAATTAAACTAAATTTCTTTGCACCTCAGTATCCCCATGGATAAATTGAAGCAATTGGCCAAATTATTTCTAAGTTCCAAGAAGAACATATTCTCTGAATATGTTCTGTATCTATGAATAGTATTGTCCATATAACCATCAGATAATTTCTAAAACTTGGAAGAGCATATAGCTGGTACATAATAACTGCTCAACACATTTTTTGTTAAATAAATGAATGAATACTTTGGACAACCACATGTCAACTAGAAATAGGGTTTAAATCCATAAGATCCAAGGCTTGGATTACCTCAAACAAGTCTTAACCCTGTTCAACAAATATATGTGTGTGCACACTGATGCACACACACACATTCATAGTTACCAAGTAAGAGTGCTAAATACTGTATTTTTTATTTTACGGAATGGATTTATTCCAATATGGTTGATTGCAAAATAACTTTTTAAAAAATAAATCTTATATTCTAACTGATTTTCAGTATAAAATTGGACTGAATTGCCACTAGGAATGATTCTTCCTTCACAAGCTGCCTGTTAGAGTGAGGAAAGAGTATTTGAAAGCGACCAGCCTGGGGTGTGTTAGCTGTCATGGCCCATCTTGAAATTGCAGGTTTCTCATCTCATCTCTTCCTTTCCTTTTCAGTCGTTCCTGCAATTTTGCAAATAGAGCTGGACTGTCATCACAGCTACTGTTTGTTGAGTTTTGTGGGGCTTTTCACACATTATCTTTAGTCTTTATCATCACCCTATGGTAGGACAGATATTATTTTCATGTTCACTTCACCCATGAAGTTCATTTTGATTAAGTAACTTGCCCAAGATCTCACCTATTAAGAAGCAAGCCTGGAATTTGAACTCAAGCCCATCTGGCTCCAAAGTCTAGTCCCTCAAAGGATCTAACAGTCAAGCTGGTATTAGAAGAAGGTCTGAAAATCCCATAACTCCCAGGATTCAAGTTGTATAAAGTGAGGATTGCCTACTTTATTAATTCTATAAATTCAAAATTCCACGTGAGAAAATTTTAAAGGACAACCTGTGGTAGAATGTGAGCCCCTACTCAGTCAGATAACCTAGATCAAGAGGCTGTGAAACCACAAATTGAGATTGAGAAATTTATAAGACATGATAGGTATGAAGCATCAGCAGATGAAGGCAGCAGTAATGAGGAATGAATAGGTTACTGATAAGTTTTACTCAGGCCAGAAAATGGAAAATTCCATTATCTCCTGACAATTTCTGAGGCCATTCATCACAGAATGAGAAGAATGACTCCACCATAGACCTTTTAAATGTGTTTGAGATTCCTCTAGCAGGAAACATCTCTGCCTGGAGTGTCTCTGCTTTCCTCATCAACTTCAGAGGCTCTGGAAGGTGGTAAGAGGATGTTAAGCATAATATTTGCAAGAGGTGGAGTTTCTTTGCTCATTGCCTGGAACTTCAGACCAGGAAACAGTAATTAGGAAATGAGGGATCGGCTGTGGGGTGATTTTCGTCTTTCCTTTCAGAACCAGGAATCTTCCCCCTCCCCAGGCTTCCTGCTCTTCATTTCTTGTTGGAACAAGTTGTAAGAGCGCCCTGTTTAACAGGTTAAGCGTTGGGTTTCAGTTTTACATGCAACCCTACAAAATGGTTCTTAGAGTCTCCTCTTAGCCTACTTTGAAAACCTGACAAAGTTCTTCGCTGTAGTCTCCAAACTCCCCCTACATGGCCCTGAACGGTTAACATTTTGGTATTGTGTTATTATTGTTACTGCCATCAGTGCTGTCATGGCTGAGCCTGTGACATCTCCTCCAATTTTATTTTATTTTCTTTTTTCCTCCAATTTTAATAAAAGTTTTGGTCCTTCGTATGCATATAGCTCGTTACAGCTCACTAATCACCTTAATATCCATCGTCTCATTTTAGGTTCACAACGGCCCTGAGAAACAGTCAAAGAAGGAGTTATTACTCTCATTTTATAAATAAGAAACTCAAGGCTCAGACAGTCAATAAATAGCCAAACTTCCAATGCCATATGCTGATAAATGAAGATATCAAGCTGGGTGCCGGAACTTTCCATTTCAAGACATCTGCCCTTTCCTCATACTTTTCTTGTTTATTTCAACATTTCTTCCACTTATTTGTTTGATGCAATGAAAGATCCTGGAGCTTAGTAATACTCCGAGGCCATGTCCATAAGGCTGATTTGGGCTACCTGCTTCTCCAGGTGCATGGCCGCAGATGAAGCAATGTCAATGACCTTGAGCTCATAAAACTAATTTAAACAGCTGTCTACATACATATAAATTTAAGAGAAAATAGTCTCTTATAAATATGAATGTTAACTAGTCATAATCCAAGCAGTACTAATTTAATAGGGTGAGGGTGAAGTAATTCAAATACATTTGAATGACGGAATTCAGAACAAGTTCATTTTGCAGACATCAGCAAACTCCCTGGGCTATCCCTGGGTGATTATCTTTACTGAAAGAGAAACCCTGTTACACACAGAACAATACAGGGCATGATGCTGCTAAGAGCTCATATGGGCTGAGCAGCTACTATGTACCTGCTGCCATATTGACCTTTGTATTCCTTAATTTATTGAATTTCATCCATTAATATTAGACATAGGCGTTATCATCATTTTATACATTAGAAAACTGAGGCTCAGCAGAGTTTAGTAATTGACCCAATATTGCACAGTTTAGAAGGATGAAGCTGAGATTTGAAATGTCTGGCTCCGAAGTCCGTGTTCTTTAAAATGTCCTACACAGTCAGTTGAAGATTGGCAGAGTGGAGGATCTGAATTTAACCTTATATGTGGGGGGAGGGAAAGATTACATTTCTCTAGTATCAGTGGTAGCCATAAATTCACTTACCTTTAGATCTGGCTTTCTTATGGCTCTATTTATGATATAGTCCTCATCTGTAATGAGAGGGTGGTCAGGAGTGAGACCAAATGCGCTCTTTAGTGCTGACAGGTGGATCCATATTACCTTTTTCCAAGAGTAAGTTTGGAATTCATCCTGAGGAAATAGACACCAAAACCCCCGTGAAGTTAAGAGAAATCATCAGGCTAAAACTGAACCTGAAAAACATCATTTGAATATAGTTCTGTAAGTTTATGGAGTGAATAAACATTCTAGATGGAATTATATGCCTTTGAAAGCTGGTAGATACAGAGCCTCAAGGGGAAACATGTTGCCATCACTTATTGAGGAATCTGGATGTAAATACGAGGCACGGCACATACAACAAAGCTCGAGAGTTGGGAGGCAGATTCTCAGGTAAGAGCTAGTTTCTCCTGTTACTCTCCAACCATGAGGCTACGGCCAGATGCAAGATTTCACAGAAAAAAAAAAATAAGCAAGCATTCCAGGGTTTCTGTAGGTCTCTGAGGCTGAGGAAACTGGGTAACTAAACCATTCCCATGTTTCTAGGCTTAACTTCAATTCCACCTTTTCCAGAATAGCCCCTTTAACAGTCTCTGGTCAGGGGGAAGAAAAACACGGTCACTGTATTAACTCTAAAAGAATCTTGCTGTCCCTCTCTTGTGCTCCTAATCACATTCTGCTTTGTATTCTCTTAGTTCTTCTAGACTATCTTGAAGGTAGGGACCATGTCTTATGATCCCTTATATCCCATCCACGTGGAGAACTGTGACCTGCTTGGTAAGAGTCTGATAAATGGATGGAAAAAAGACTGAATGCATGGAGTGGACGTGCCCACAGGTAATTGTCAGGATGTTGGCACAGGTAGGATTGAAAAAGATACCCTCTTGCATAACCCTAACTGAAGCTGCTTCCCTTGGCAGTTCACTGATGACTTCATCACAGAATAAAACTAGAGGGAGCAGGACTGGACTGAGTAACAGGTACCACAGTGGTCCCTTAGAGACTGGTGTGATAGCAACAGTGGTTATTATATGAATAGCTAAATGCTATGCATAAAATCCACTTGGATGCCTGGTAAACCTCGAGAACTAGGAAGGATGGCAAGGGAAGTCAAGACTAGGAAACAATTTGATGCCTGGGGAATGTAGGTCAGAGCTGGGAATTGTCTCCACCACACCCACTTTTGCCACGAAGAGTGTCGGAGCTGACGCTGCAAAAGGCAGAGGAGGAGATTATATAGTACTTGTTGTAGCTAAATCTCTTAAACTGAGTCTCTTCAAGAGAAGCACATTTCCAAGCCTTGGCTCCTGCTGCTTCCGTAGTCTGGAATACACATCCTTCTCTCCTCTTTTTAAGTCTTCACATGGCTAGATCCTAACCATCCTTCAGGGTCTGGCTCAAAGTTCACATCATGGGAACTCCTTAATTTCTCTGGGTGATCTTTCCTCTAAACCATTAGGGTACTCGAGGTTCATACCACATTCTATCTCACTGCATTATTTTTTGCCTGTCCACCTTATCACCCCTCTTGGGCTGTGGGTAGGGACCGTGTAGGATGCATGTCTGTGCTCCAGCCAGGCCTAGCACAGATTCTGAGAGAGAAAGAGAGAGAGAGAGAGACAAAGAGAGAAGGGAGAGGAGGGGAGGAGGGGGAAAAGCAAAGTAAAGGAAGTGGGGAGAGGAAGGGAGTGGAGGGCAGGGAAGGAGAGGAAAGAGAAGGAAAAGAAAGGAGAGGAGAAGGGAAAAGAGGGAGAGAGAAGAGGAGGGGAGGGGCAAAAAACCTTAGTAGAAATTTGAAAGTCAATGAATTAATTTTAAAAACCAGTAAAATTGTGTAGTATCTCATTAAAAAAATGACTAAATCAAATCAAATCAGATTTTCATAGAGTTACCTTCAGAGGCTAAGAATTACCAAAGATGGCTAAATTTCTAAAGTCTGAGCCACTGAACTGCTGGACCTGCTCTAGGTATTGGGGAGTAAGCAACCCCCTTCCTAGAAGACGCTGTGACATAGTTCAGCATAATTAGATTTGCTTTGACCACATCAAAGGGGCTTTGTTATGAGAAGAACTTTGAGTTCTAATAATCACAATAATAAAAATAGTTAATATTTATTTAGCACTTACCATGTTCTAGGCACATAGTGTCATATTGTGTATGATTTCATTTAATGCTCAAAAACCCTACGAGGTAGTTACTGATCATTGTGCTCCCCATTCTACAGGTGAGGAAACTGAGGCACAGTTGGTAACTATGAGAGCAGGGATTTGACCTCCTCCAGACCTACCTCCTACCCAGCTCTATTCTGTATTTTGTTTAAAAATTCAATTTGATTGGACTGCCATTTTGAGATCGAGCCTGAAGTGGGACTGCCAAAGAACAAAGTCTCAATGAAAAATTTGGTAAGAAAATACGTAATTTGTAGGTAAATAGGAACACAAATTATAGAAGTGCCGTCAATACCAGAGACCTCTGGCCACCAAGTGAGGACAATTAGGAAAACGGCTAATCTTGGTCCTCTTAAGTGAATTAAAATAATATTAACTACTAATTTTCATATGATTACTTAGCAGTTTATAAAATCTTTTTGTGTCAGTTATCTCATTTTAGGCCCATGATTCTCCAAAATCGGTATCATCGTCCCCATTTTGCAAATGAGAAAACTCTCCGGCAGCAAGGCTATGGATTGCTCACACCAGCTGTGTGGGTAGCAAGAGAGAACTCAGAGGGAAGGCCAGGCCTTCTTACTCCAAATCTTGGCTCCTTCCTCTTTATTTCAACAAGTTGTCCCATGGTGTTTGAGGCGCGTGTGTGAATTTGGCATCATGTAACAAATAGCATTCAGTTTCTCACAATCCCTACTCTCTTGGTAGCAGAGAGTCTGATTCCCCAAATCAAGCTGTCACCCTTCAGCCCTGTGTGACAGCAAGCAGACCTCTAGACTGTAACACCTAAAAGGGAAAGGCAAAGTGGAGCATTGGAACTTCCAAGCTCTCAAAGGCCACTGTTAATCCATTGCACCAACTTCATGCTTTAGTCTATCTGAGCGTGAAAAACTGAAATTCACCTGTATGCTTCCATCTTATTATAGCCTGTAGCATAACTAAATCGAAAGTGATTGGATATATTTGCCTTCAAGTTCATTTCTTGTCATCCCCTTTATCCCCAAGCCCTATAACTCATAATTTTGTATAACACAAAGTAGAATTCTATAGGCTAATAAAAGACACTACAGTGAGACAACCATTTTTCTTGGCTAAGGTAATAATACTGACTTTTCTCTTGTTTACTACCCTATTAAAGACTTGTAAAATCATCCATATTTTTAAAGAAATTTGCCCAATTTTTTCAGGAAATAAAAGGCAAAGAAATGGAGGCAAAATGTGTCAATGTGAAGTGGTCACTCTCGGTAACATCGCTAGCTTCTCTCCGTTTTGGGGTTAGACTTGTGCAATATGGAAAGAGCACAGGCTCCTCTGAGTTCATATCTCAGCTCCAAATTGTCTTGAAAATCGTGGCAACTCCCTGAGCCTAATTTTCTTTATCTGGCAAGTGGCGATGATAATACCACATTTCATGGATGTCTCAAGGAATAAATGCAATAATACATAAGGCACCTGGTCCAAGGTCTGGCCCATAGCAGGAGGCAGCAAGTGCTAGTTGGATGTAGCTCTGTGCCTCGTTTTCCACCACTTGTTGCTCCTAAGATCTTTCTGTAGATATGAACTTATTGTCCCTTTGAAGAAACTTGAGAATCTCTGCGAGTCTCTCTATTTATTTTTCCTTTCTGAAAAAGAAGCCTTTACCTGGAAATGGCTATGTCCACTTCAGTGCATTTCCCAGCTCTCTCAACAAGTTAATGATCTGTAAAATACTTAAATGCACCAGAGGAATGTCCACTTTAAATAATTGCTCTGTAATGCAAATCATCCAAACTGTGCCCAGCACATCTAGACTTTTAACACCTCAAGTGTGATGGAGCAAGCTTTACCTCCTGTTTATCAAGAGAATTAACCAGATCAATCCTTGAACTCTAAAAGAGTAGGATTTAAAATAATTCAAGACCACGTTTCAAAGAACTGAATGTACACAGAGGGCCTATGTTTGAAGTGGACGGAAAATAGAGGAAGAAACCTGGGCAGTGTTTCTTTCCTGTGGTCTTGCACTTTCTGAACCTGGAGATACCAGGCTAACTTTTATATTTGAATGAAGTGAGTGACCTTGTTTATCTTCTTCCAACCTTTCGCTATAAGCATCTCATCTCTTGGAATTGAAAAACTGTGCAATAGTCCCATTTAAGTTCAGGCCAATGCTGTGACTTATCCTCTCGTGTAGGTGTTCACTCCACAAAAATGTACTTCTGAGCTTGCTTTAAAAAGAAAAAAGTAACCCATTGCAAAGTTCCAAAGAGACATTAGGAAATCAGTACTTTTCACTTGGAGATGGATACATTGCAATGCTAAAAAGTTGAACTCTAGCTAAGGTGAAGTACTTGGAGGATTATGGATACAGTAATAACTTACCTTTCTCATGCTCTTTCTAGAACATTGCACTACCTCTACAGACCCATAACTTTGGCAAAATACTATCCTTTCTATATTTAAGTACCATTTATTCTTTCTCTTTCCCCTTCTTGGCCAGAGCCATTGATACTCTTGACACCTTGTTCCCAAAGTTGCTTAGCTAGAAAAAGTTGACATTGGCTGGAGGTGGGATTTAGTTACAGAATATAGATAGAAAGTTCTGAGCATTGGAGAAATCTCACGCTAATTATTCTCTCAGTACTCCTGGGACATGGTGACCAAAATAAAAAAAGAAGGGGAGGGGAGTGCCCAAAGGGGAGGTTATATGACAAAGGAAAGGCTATACCTATGTTTGTATACAAAACAAGGAAATCCAGAACAACTCAGCATATGTTTTTGGAGAGATTGGTTGTTTTGTTTGTTTGTTTTTATACTAGTTTTCTGAGGGGAGAGGGAGCAGTGAATCAGCTGGCTCATTGTCTGAAATATCTGGAGATGCAGTGTGTAGTAAGAAGTAAGGAATAAGAAGCTAAACTGGTTTAAGAACGTGCGTAGTAATCAATGCCCATCGAACGCCTACGTGCCAGACACAGTTTTCATCTCAGCACT